TCATAAGAAGTTTTTTTTCTATCTTGCCGAAAACCTATTGTTTACCGACGGAGCGTTCCGACAATACTCTTATACCGGACTGTTGTTGAGTACGCTCTGAAGAGTAGGTAGAAAACTCCTTGTCTGTCTGCTGTAACTACAGCTTTTCGACGTCAAACCTTCATTGTTTTTGTTGAAGGGTATTATTTTCTGCTATAATTTAGCAGTCCGACACGATGACAGATCCGAGCTTATCATAACATGATCGATTTGATTTTAGCGTTATTCGATACGTTGAAAGCCAAGTAGCTTAATGGATGTTTTGTGACAGTGCGGCGGCAATAGCCGAGCAGTTAGCATTGCGTACTGCCATTCTGAAAGCCAAGGTTCGAGTCCCGGTTCAACCAACAGCCAATGTCAAACCTTCCGAGTGTATTACTGACGTGAAATGAAAAGCTCCTCAAAAATTTCGTTCGGAGGCGGTTGAAAATAAACCGTTGGTCCCACCATTCGTTGGAAAACAACAAGTCGCAAAACCACAAATTGGAGCAGGTGCTTGGCGAAAAATCGCTTTTTCGAATAATATTTTAATTTTAAATTTAATTTTTTAGGTTATTTTCTTGGTCGCATACAACTGGCACAGCTCTCATTTACACACATTTACTCTTATTACGTCTGATTATGCAACGCAAATGAGTTATTCGATAGGATAGTAAAATGCCGCTAAAAGTAGTACAGTTTCGAGTTTATTTGGATACGTATATACATACACGTACATATATGTATAAGCCACATAAATTAGTAATTGACCAAACATACAAAATTTTAATGTATGTACATGTGTGACATGTGTGAGCATGAATCTAGGTGCATATGGCGCGTCGCAGTCGCCAAGTGGTTAGCATTTGCCTACCAACTTTCAGTTGGCCAGGGTTCAAGTCTTGGTCCAACATCCAAAATTATAGAAAATTAATTTCTTTCTCTACCGTTTACCCTTTGGCAGAGAATGTGATGTCTTCCAAGCATGTTTCTGACTTGAAATAAGGGCTCCTCATAAAAAATCATCGACCGTACGGTTAATTTGGAGCTTGATAAAAATGGAGAATATCGGTGAGGACTATATGCGGATACAACGCCGTTTTGGGGGAGAACGCATTTTGAAATCGAATACAGATGGAAGTATAATTAAAGCAAATATGATACCCAGATGGCTGCAAAACCGATGGAGGCTTCGGAGTGGACATCGGCGGCTCCAGAACCCAGCTATCCATACCAGTGGGGCAGCATCCTAGTATATTTGATATGTGTATGCCCAATGTTAAGAATCCTGACATAGTGATATGTAGTGACAGTCAACTGCAGGACAAGAATTGAGCTGAAATAAATCGCATGGTGTGGGAATGCATCGTGAACCTAAAACCGCTAATAGGGTTGCCAGGAGTCGGAAGCGTACAAGAAAACAAACAAATAGTAACCACCATGCCATTAGCACCCGAAGCCGTCTTTCCAATTGGGTATTATACAATAAAACGAAGAGATAAGATCAGATGGTAAACTCATTAGGTCCAAAGAGAGACAAGTAGATAACTTCGTTTATCTTGGAACCAGTATTAACACCAACAACAATGTCAGCCTGAAATTGAAGCGAGATTGTACGCATAAACTTTGATATCACATGATCTTGATGGCTAATCTACCGGCCCAAAACGTGAAATTATCTGTGCACTTGGGCAGGTCGAGCTGCTTCAGCTCTTGCATGCAAACTATATTTTCTTTAAGATCTCGACATAAAATGAGCCAAGTCATTCCGTACGTCAATCCGAGTTGCTGCGAACGGCGCAAAATCAACTCTCCACGGTCTTCTTGTACACTCTCTGCTACTGCCGTTATATTTTCTTCACTTCATGCTGGACGTGGTCTTTTCAATCGAATGATATCCAATAAATAATCCTGGGTCTCAAGAATAGCTCAGTAGGTCGATCATATCGATCATAAATTGAGCGAATCCCGCGAAACACATTCTTCACAGAACGTTAGTTTTCGTAATAAAGTTGAAAGATTTGTAAATGTTGTTCAGGCGCATGGTTGACACGACTCACACGTGATCTGTCCAAAAAGGGCTCTTGAAAAAAGCACCTCTACTTGGAATGATAAACCAAGTTGCATTGCATCCATCAACTCCTTGTATCTTTTAGCATTTCTGAAGGCGTTGGGTCTAGACGGTGATAAGTAATAAACACGAAGGGTATAGACCAATGGTTGCAGTGGAAATCCTCCACACTTCATAAAAAGGGAACCTGTTTGGATATTCCCACTGGACATTCAAGGAAAATTTTCCAAAAATATTCAGAAAAAGTTACTCCAGCGACAGCATTTAAACGAGTTGTTAACTTGGGACTCAACGAACCATAAGTTTGACCGAATCCCTACCGGTTTGATAATCCGAAGTAAAAAGGAGGTTTTAGATAAATAGACCAATTCGTACCACATTCGTGAACTCTATTACTGACCACGTACAGAGTAAGAAAAAAAAAATTAACAAAAATCTTAAAAATGTGCAACGAGCACAGCATGGCGTTTTATTGCTATAATTTTTGTTATAACGGTAATTTTTAGTATTTCGCCACTTTAACCTGCTTAAGACCCTTCTTCATTTCATTTTTAATTTTTGATTTCTGATCTTTGAATATTGCAGGCACATACATCTATACTTAGGTACATATGTATGTGTGTGTATGTTTGTCTAAATATACATAAATACAATTGAGAGTTAAATTCCTATATTTTTTAGCTTTATTTTTCTGCAGTTTGTTTTGGTCAACGACCTTCATATGGATTTTTTTTTCACATACTTACATACATATGTATGCATATATGTACTCATTTGTGCCTTTACATATGTAAATAGGTATTTAATAAATTTATTATTGGTCTTTTGTTCAACTGGTCTTTTATCATCCTATAGAAAGCTCGACAAAGTCGCTACTTTTGTTGTTGTTATTATTAATAGATCACAAATTAGAAAATACGAGCCAACCTTGACCATAATTTGTTAGTTTCAAAATATACTTTGAGCCGAGCTCTAACCGAGACAGTGGTAAATGCAAGGTGATGCTAATCAAATGGTGTTGTTGTTGTTGTAACAGGAAAAATATTCCGCAAAGTAATGTTTAGGGAATGTTGCGTGAGTGACAGTCCTTGGTCGGATAAAAAGTTCAAGTCGTCTGGTATAAAGACCCGACTGTTGCGCGAACTATTGGATTTTAGTCGCCTCTTACGATAGTCATGCCGTTTCGCATGTAAATTCTTGAACTCCTAACCCGCAACTAAAGCAGACGTAGCCCCCTCTAGGAGGTGTAATGAACGAGCCATTGCCGTAGAAGAAAAGTTTGTGACTTTTATTACATTGGTCATATAAAGTGGGACAAAGTCGGTGCTACATATGAGGGAGATTTGTTATCGGAGAGACGAGCCTAAGTCATCGAGTACATTTAACGGTAAAGGTAGGTCCAGGAAACGAGCTGTTTAGACGGATCTAGGAACAATTAGCCCAGAAGGAAGAAGGGGTTAGATGAGTAGGTTTTGATACAAGGAGGTGGTTAGTGTCATGCGGAGACTTTCTTGCATGCAGGACATACATATGTACTTTGGGTATATCAGAGTTAAGACTACCTAAGTAGGTGTTTAATCTACTAAAATAGCCAGATCTTAATTGTTCGAGGCAGCTTGAGCACTTCATCTACAATGAGTGATGATTAGAGTCCGAGAACGCTGTTCACTAGAAGAGAGTTCAAGAAGGTGTTAACGGATTCTCGGGGAATGACGCTTAAGGTCTCTCGGTATGCCTTACTATCCAGCGATTCTTGTACGTGGTGCTGAATGGAGTCCTGGTAGTCGAGTACTCTCTTTCTGATGTGTCTACGTGTAACATATATGCTTCGGTGTGGAAATGATGATTTCGGCGATTTCACGAGGTAGATTGTAGCTTCTTCATCTGCGTCCAAATTGGTTGTAAATTATAACCGGCCCCGGTTGCCATCGACTTTCACATCGATTTCGAGCCTGGACAACTTGGTCCAGCTGGGGAAGATGGTAGCTAAGCCTGGACAACTTGGTCCAGCTGGGGAAGATGGTAGCTATGGATTTTTTTTGGTTACATAAGGGAAAACCCATCAGATGGCGGAGGGAATTTCGAGATATAAAAGTTAGATTACAGTGGGAAGACCTGCTGAACCTTTCTGAGTTTTGATGTTTGACCTCAAAATTTAACCGATGATTGACGACAACTCAGATAGCTCATGATCCACTTCTTCTACCCCGGCGGTAATGAGGATTCCTCAATGTCCGATAGTAGTTCGGAATGGTTGACCGTGTCAAAAGCTTTTGAAAGTGCAATTGTGGGGCTTTTCACTTGGCTGATATGCTGCTGTAAAGGTCGGTAGCCGCTAGACCTCAAGAGTCTTCATTATTGGGAAAAGAAGAGCCCAGCCCATAGAACTCTTCTTTGTTGGCTGGTTTCCTCGGCTTGAGTAGCGGGACCACCCATCCCATTTTCCTCATATCGGGTATTTTAGTCAAAGACCGATTGAGGGCGTTAGGAAGTGTGCTCCCGCTGGTCCTAGATGTTTTATTCCGTCGGGGCCGATCGGGAAATTAGGGATTTCCGCAATTCGGCCTTCCGGGATGAAGCGGGTGGCATCAAATATCGCATCGCTAAAATAAGATCCCTGACTAAGTGATGTCTGTTGAAGTGAAGAGGACAATGAAGGTGTTCTCGGTAAAATTCGTGAAGTCAGGCCGTTCAGATGTCGACAATATTCGGTGACCCGAGGAATCAAAGCCAGATGGTCTGTCGCCCTATATAAATATGGACAAATGATCCGATGCGAAAGACAGCATAGATTGCCAAGTATTGCTGTTCATCAGACCAGCACTAGCAATATGCTGCACCGACAGAGGTCAAGAGGTAAGGCGTTGAAGTCACAAAGTTCTATTTCAAATTCGACCGAGAACACAAGATCTTTCAATTAGTCGGCCAACATATTTTATTGCATTCAATATAATCACAAGAGCTTACAACATATTCAATGAAAACGGAAAAGTTTGAAATACTGGGGTTGTGAATGAAAAGTTTTCAATTATAAATATTTTTATACATTTTATCTAATAATTTAAACCAAATCTTCAGGATTGAACATGCCCTGAAAAGAAAACCAAATATTACAAACCAATGATATAACAATGGCTTTTAGGAAACTTACTCTTGCGCGACGTAGAATTGAATCTTTGCTAGCATCGTATGGATGGTCCTTTGATGGGATTTCCAGTACAGCGGGCACTGGTGATGTATGTGCGTCAATCACGTGACGAATGAGTTCAGCGCAGTTTTGATTGATCAAAATAATATCGATATCATCACGCTTTACGAAACGCCTGAAGCAATCTTCGACTTCACTTACTGGTGTATCTGTGTAAATAATCATAAGACGTGCATTATTATGCGGAAAATTTATTATTTTACAATGAACTTACTCTTGTCGACGACCATGAAATTGGGGTGGCGATTCTTGTTGATTTCACCAACTCCACCCAGAAGAAAACCCACACAGGTGTCCTACAGTAAATAACAATGGATTAGAATATTCACATTGAAAATTTTACATATTTACGCACTTCATCACCAATTACAGATATAAGTTTTCCTCTTGCTGAATGTAAAGCCATTTTTAACTTTTTGATCAATAAACTACGTTTGCTTAGGTAGAGTTCGCAAATGGTCAGCTGACATACGTCAAATGACAAAAATTATCTTCAATTAGAAAACTAAGCTGACGTAATAAATTTATCGGCGCAGGGAAAGTGTAGCGCCACTCTGATACTTTCGACGCCGTTATAAATAAAAAGATGGTGATGTAGGTCATTACAATTTTAAAAGAAAATTAAATACCTACTTATTTTTTAATTATTTAGTTCTACGCATATACTTAACAAATATAGAATATGTTATACATATATAGATAAAATTTAATTGCTTTTCCATTTCTCAAAATTAACATTTTTACAAGTGGCATCGCCGAGATTCTTCAACTCTATATTTCTTGCAAAAGATGTTCCTGTTTTCATTTTCATTTAAATAATGAAACCTACCCCATAGGGCCCTTTCACATCAGAATGAAAAAGTTTCATTCTCAGTGGATGAAAACCAGCGGATTAAATTTTGTACTTGTTAATCTAACGCCTACCCTTAAAAATCCTGATATTACAAATGTATTTCTCCTATCCGACAATAGAGTGATCCAAAACTACACGTATGTAACTATGTATATGGTCTAATAACAAGGCGATATCCTATAGGTTTAGACCATACAGTCTACGTCTGCAAATTATCCGAGTAGATCATGAAGTACCTACAGTAATTTAGTTTTGAAACCACTCCGCCAATGTGGATGACATTATGGAATATCTTAGAAATATTATATTCAAATATACTTTTTAGCTGCGAATACAATCTTTATTTGTGTAAAAATGATAAATCAATATATTTATAATATAAATTTATAAAACAGATAAGAATAAATATTCATATACATTTATAATATAATATTATTTAAGGGTTTGTTCGTAATTTATGGTTGTAAATACAAAGTGCTCGGCAGCTCTGTGCTCCAGTTGGTAATACTGATGTTCTGACATTTCTGCTGACAGCATTATAGACGGTAAAAGTGTTTGGTCATTTTGCTAGCCGCTTATTATTAATTCGTTTTTCCGGATATTTCTCAAATTTAATCTTATAAAGTATGTATAAAAGATGTTCCTGCTTTTATAACACATTAATCCTTTATATAAATTTGCAGATGTTTTTGACACGTGCAGAATATGACCGTGGTGTAAACACCTTTTCGCCAGAGGGACGCCTTTTCCAGGTGGAATATGCTATTGAAGCTATTAAATTGGGATCCACTGCCATTGGTATTTGCACCAGTAGTGGTATGTTTATTTAAATACCTGTGTGATGAATGAATTTTTGATTGAATTCAATTTGTATTTAGGTGTGGTACTCGCTGCCGAAAAACGTAGTACATCCGAATTAATGGTGTCTAGTAGTGTAGAAAAAATCGTCCAAGTGGATAGACACATTGGATGTGTTACATCAGGTCTCACTGCTGACGCACGTACCTTAATCGATCGTGCACGAGTTGAATGTCAAAACTATTGGTTCATCTACAACGAATCAATGCCAATTGAATCTTGTGCACAAGCTGTATCTGCCATGGCTATACAATTTGGAGACAGTAGTGATGGCGGATCGGCTATGAGTCGACCATTTGGAGTAGCGATGTTATTTGCGGGAATTAATGAAGGTGTTCCGCAACTTTGGCATATGGATCCTTCAGGAACTTATGTGCGTTACGGCGCTAAAGCTATAGGCTCCGGAAGTGAGGGCGCTCAACAAACACTGAAAGATGAATATCACAAAGATATGAGCTTACAAGAAGCGACAAAGCTGGCTATGTCAATTCTTAAACAAGTTATGGAGGAAAAATTGGAATCAAAGAATGTCGAAGTGTTGGTAATGAAGCCAAACGAAGATTTTCGTATGTTCACAAAAGAAGAAGTGGAGCAGGAAATAAATGCATTGTAGGACAGTGTGAGTGTATCGAATCTGTCAGAAAATTTACAATTCACGGATACATAACAAATTTGTTTTGCTTTATGGTACTTTGTATTTAAATATATGTATATTAATAAATTTAAAGCATTTTGGATACTTTATCGGAATATATTATACGTAAAATAGTATATATATATATGTACTTTATTTGACTATAACTATGTTCAAAAATATTCAATTTACAAGACTCTCGAACTTAAGGTTAAAAAACGTAAAACTAACTAAGGGAAGACACTATATTACTTGACGATCTCTAATTGTTCTTAAGATATCGCTTGGGTTACTCAATATACCAACGATCATCATATTCATTTGTAGTATGTGTATGAGTATAAATAATTTGTATTGTTACTGCTGCTTATCAACACCATTACTGCCGCTGTCTTTGCGACGTAGTAATAGAGTTTGGTTGGCATGGGTATCGGTTAATGAGTATATTTCGGGCTCGAATACCGGAGGACATTCCATATGGGGATATTCAGGCGAGTTGATTGTCGTCACTGCCGCAGTAGCAGTAGCAATCATCTCTTTCAGACTTCTGTTGCCGTTATTATCGCGCTCATGGTGCGAAGGCGGCGGTGGCGCCTCTACATCAGGAGGTGTAATTACTGAACTGCTTTGCGATGTCGTCACATGAATATGTCGTGGATTGCTGGCATTACTGCGATCACTTTGATAGTGATTGCTTTGCTGCGAATGATGATGGTGATGTGCAGTATTCACTTTTGGAAATATTATTTGCGTGAATATTTCCCGATCATACTCACGACCAGTACATGTAGGTGTTGTTGGCATCGAAATGCCACTCATATGTTGGTGTTGCTGGCGATTATGCTGTTGCGTGCCATACACCGTGCGATGTAACAAAGGTGAACCCAAAAGTCGTTTCTCTTTGCCACTCTTACTACCACTAACTGATGCCGTGCTATTGTTAATTGATCCAGAAGCATTACTACTACCACCAACACCAAATGTAGTACTCAATTTCGTTAAAATTGGTACGGAGTTCTTACGGTGCGCATCGTACTTAGCACCGGCTTTTTCCTTCAAATCATGATTGTAGGTATGGCTCTTTTTAATGCCTGAACCAGAAGCCGCATTGCTTAATTCCATGTCTCGTTGACTACTTTTATGCTTATTTAATGGCAAAGTCATAGTCATTGCTGAGCTGCCGCCACTGCTGTTGCCTCCTGTATGCTTGTGGAACTGTTGAAAGATACGTTCGCTTTTACTCTTCTTCTTAATACTGCCGGAACGTTTTTCACCCATATTACCGAGCTCTACAATGGAAGATGTTGATGAGCAACTATTGCTTGAATGTTTCTTACTTTTGTGCGGCAATAGAGCGAAGGAACGGGACTTGCTGCTTATTATACTGCTGATCTCCGAGTGGTGGTCCGCATTACTGCTCGCTGACGACATATTAGAGTTCTGTCGTGATGCCGTTAGTGAACTTGTAGCACCGCTTATAGGTTCATCACCAGATATCAATTCATATCCAAAGTCTCGTAATTTTAGACCTTCCTTTGTGCGTGTACGGCGAATATCCTCATCAGTCGGTTTAAAACTTATTTCATAATCGGGGGTTTTCGGTAAACTCCGGCTCTGGGTTTTGGAGAGCTTACTACTTATACTGCCACCGCAGCTGTCATTACATTCTCCACCGCCACCAATGGCAGCAGCACGCTGTAGAATATCTTTCTTTTCCACCCCCAGCAGCACACGATTGTTATACATCTCCTGAGCTTCTTCTTCCTGTTTGCGTAGCATAAGATCTTTCAACGTTATAAAGCTCTGTGTATTATGATGTGCATCCCATGAATTTGCCGAGTTGATTTTGGGTAACGAGTAGTCGAGTGTCTTTGAAGTCTGGAAATCAAATTCCACTAAATTCGGATTGGATGCATGTATAAAATTGTATGGTATCTTTCGCATGGATCTGGATGATATACTGGAAGTTGATGTCGAGTTGCTCAGTGCGCCAGGTGACTGAGGATGCTGATTCATAGAATATGAAACATTGCGTTCAGGCACGGGTGCGGGCGATGAGGGCGGTCCCAAGCATGATGTGGACACTACGGAAGAATTCACAGAAAAATCCGTCCCATTGCTTACGATGGAAACATGGCTTGAAGACAGTGAAAGCTTACGAACTACATCATGCAGTGTCGGTGTTGACGATGATGATGACGACGCTTGTGGTGGTAGTGGTGGTGCCAAAGTGGTAGGTGCCAAATGTGCCCCTGAAATACTCATGACATTTGGTGGCTGAATTAGAAAATCCAATTCAGGCCGATAGCCAGGCGTATTGGTGCCAATTTGTAAACCAAAACTGCCACCTGGCACTTTACGATAACTACGATACTGATCTGTAGGCACAGGAATGTCACTTGAATGTTTTTTCTCACTCGACGAAGTGCTGCTTTTGAACGGCAATGTGCCTTTAGTCAATTTTCGCAAAGATCCCAAATAACTGCGTTCTTGTTTTGGCTGTGCCGCAACGGGCGTGGATGTGGCGGATGTAAAATTTGTAATAACATCCTTGCCGATGGATTGTGGTGATGGCGTGCATAGATTACTTGATATTATTGATTCAGTTTCCTCGCCAGAACTATCAGTTTCGGAGAAAAGATCTTTCGTGTTTATATTATCTATGGCACTGCCAGATGAGCTTTGTCCAAGATTGCGCACGTTTGGCAGCGTATGCAACGTGGCCTGCCTGAGCAATTCTACCCACTGATTTAGAGCGTCTTGCGATTCGACTGCAAAGTAAAATGTTTTTGCGGCATGATAAACCTTAAAAGCATGTGGCTTCGAATGGACTTCCTGTAGTGGAAAGAAAAAATTCGAAATTTATCAATTCATTTTTTTTCCGTATTATTTATACGAATATGATATGCTTACCTTGGCCAATGATACAGTAAATCCGGGCAGAAAAATTACGCAACTCGCCTTTGTTGCTTCCTTGGATCGAAAACCGTAGAGTATGGTATTTAACATTACAAAATACAAACGCGCCCAAAAGGTAACACCGCGTCTATCTTTCGTGCGTCTGTACAAGTGTCCTTGTATGTCACCTGTACCGAGCACCTTCAAGTTAACATTGCGTCTTTTAACCACCAGACTATTTTTCTTTTTCAGCGACAAAGTGCGACTCTTTGTCGGAGTATGCAATTCATTAACTTGAGTTGGAGTATTAGACAGATTGATATTGGTATTGGAGACATTTGTTGGCGAATTCAATAATAATGACATCGAAGGCAAATTAATCTTTATCCCTTCTGTGCTAAAAGTTGATGTATTCTGCTTTGTGTTCAACGACGATTGCAATGCTGTGCCCATTAAGCTTGGTGGCTTCGGTGGTGGTGGTGGTACTGGCTGAGGCGACATGTCTTTCTGTTTACGTGGACGGGGCGGTGGCACAGGAGGCGTTTGTTGTAGAAATTCTTTACGTGGCTCAATAGCGGGCGGTGTATCGCATTCAACACCTGTGTTGTCGTAAGCTGGCGTGCTGTGGCTTTTGTCAAGACGTCCTCGACGGGCTACAATTGGAGCATTTACTGTTTCGACCACCTGACTTGCAGCAGTGATGTCAGGCAGTGGTGCTGGCGGTTTGGGAGTGGTTGGTGTCGTTGTGGGAGTTGTCGTATACGGTGCAGAAGTTTTATCTTCAGACGCAGCATTCCGTTGCATATCCAAAACATCTTCATCGCCTTCATCGGCAAAGAGTATTGGTTCGAAAGTTTCTAATATGGTATTTTCAACGTTACAGGTATATTTCTGATCTACTGGATAGTCTTCATATTTCATATTTGCGTCAAAGCGTACAACCTTACTCACACCTGGTTTTGAACGGTCAATAGTATTTTCACTATTTTCTCCTCCTTCCGCAGTCTTAGATTTGTTAAATACGTCCTGTAGTTCGGTTGTGCCATCATTTTTACTCCCTATGCCTATGCAAGTCTTCGGCCGTGATGTTAATTCCAAACCGAACCCGAATGATTTGCATTTGTCGCGCAAACTGGGTGACGATGGATCGATTGCAACACCAGCGTTTGGTTTACGATGCTGAAACACATCATTACCACATTTTAGGTCACCGCTGATTGTGTGTCGACGCTGTAATACTGTGCGTGGTTTTTCATAGTACAAACGACTACGTTTCTCAGATGTTTTGGTCTCTGTGGGTGATGATGTGTCACTACAGTTGGACTCTGTATCTGAAGCAGTTGTTGCGGCTTTTTCTTCAGACTTAAGTGATAATATCTCAAAAGCAGCTGGATTTTTAGGCACAGTAAGAAATCCTGTTCTTGCAGGGGGCACATTTTCACCCCACCTGGAACCAACTGTGCGTTTTTTGCTTGGCAATCGGTATGGTTGCATATAAATTTGCCCATATATTTTCATATGTTTCGGCCTTTTTTTCAATGTTAATAATACATCAGTAGGTGAAACATGCAGTTGGTGCCATACCGTTTTACCTTGCCATCCTACTACCGTCTGATAGTTAATTTGTATGATTTCGTCGCCGTATTCTATTTTACCAGAAGTGTGCGCTGGTGAATTATATTTTATTTCGGTTATACGATGAACACCATGGAAATTTGACTCGATCTCAAAGCCGGGATCCATTTCACGCTTTTTTACAGTGACGAGATTTAATGATGCCGGTTGTAGAAGCATTGGATCCGATATATCTTGTATGATATAATTGGCAAGTCGCTCAAGTTTCTCTGCACTTCCGCGTATCTGATCTACCGGTCGTTCGACGAAGCGATCGCGTTGTGCCATTGTCGCCATTTCAAGGCCAAGCCGGAGTAAATTTTTACAAATTTCTGTAAATTGTACTTGGCCTTGAAAGGGGGCACGCTCCAGCCATCCGATGAGCGGTTTTATTGTACCAATAGTACGCGTAATATCACTCAAAATTTGTGTCTCTATTTTGGAGGAATCACTATGTGTGACTAATTGGCGATGCAGACTATGCGCAGCCGTAGCCACATGCAGTGCCATAAATTGCAGATTCTCTTTGTCCAAATTATAATACTAAAAAATATATTTTTTGTTATATTTATTATACATTTACATTACAATATATATAATTAAAAATTTAATGTACTCACGAAATTACGTAAATTTTCTACTGCTTCCAATACAATTTCCTGATGTCCAATAGAATACATGCCAAGCTGCTCTAGTTCGTAAGGACGTATATTCAGAAGCTGACGCCCACCGACCTCATTGTTGGTGAAAGAGCTAATATAATGCTCCATTGATTCATCTAATCCTATGAAATTAATTAAATTATTAATATGTACTATAATCAAAACGGGAGTGGCACAGTAACGAATAATCGAGCTACTATGTACCGACGGATACAGTTATATATCTCTATTAATTACCTTTTAACCAATCGGTTACTTGGTCTGGCGTCCATTCAACAACATTTATATAGGCCATTATTGCGCTCTATTTCACAAGCAAAGAAACAAGCTATTCCATTTAAAAGGAATCCAAAAGAAAAATGCAAAAATTGTCCGTTTCTCAATTCGTTCCGTAAACTACAACTACACCCAGGCTTTGATATCAGCTATCGTTTGGTAATTCATCAAGCGTAGCACCACTTTGATCTACATTATCGCACACAAATAGATCACAATTTTGTTCAAAACAACTTATTAACACGTAAACTGCAATGTAATACAATTAAATCTACATGAAATTTACTAATATTAAGAATTCGTGCACTAATCTATTATTCTTTCCAGACACACAGCAATAGAAAATCCGCTAAAGTATTTCTTTTTCATTTAATTGAATTTTGACACTCTCACAGTTGACAGCTGTCAAAAAGATAAGGTAATTCATAAATATAACTGTAAGCTTACACCTACAACATTAGATATTTAAATTTAATTTTGAATTATTTTTCATTTCAATATATTTGGACATGTTAACGTTTTGATTAAATTTAAAATTAGCGTGATTTCAATTTATACTCAATTTTTGGAATTTCCAGTAAGCGCTTTTCGATAAATGTATCTTAAATTTAAAAGCCGCTTATTGAAAGTCAACGCCGTTGCTCAATAGTTTTACACATTTTGAATGAATCCGGCAAGGCATGATTGGTCAAATCATTTTCTTATTTATTCCGTGTAAATCGTACCGACCGCGTGCCGAATTGTGAAAGAAATGTCGGTATCTTCGTCCACACAGGGAAAACAAGTTAAATTCTACCCTTCCAGCTCAGCCAGCTCCGATAGGTAATTATCAGTTGCTGTGCTAAAAAGTTAACAATATTTATAAAAACGCGAACATAGAGCACAATATTTCATATGTATATAGATATTGTGTCTGAAAACACTGTGTTGTTTTTGTTTTTGATATCTGTCGCTGTTTTTATACGAGACAGAGGCATTCAGTGCGCAATAAATGATTCGTTAACTCAAAGCAGAATTTATAAATGAAAAATATAAATAAGAAATGTAATTAAAACAAAACTACCTATATTAACGGTAGCGCAAAAACCTTGTATCCACGTATGCGTTTCTCATTTCGTGATAATTACAAAAAATTGAAAAAAATTAAATCTTGCACACAGCTGCATACATACATAATATACTCACACATTTGTGCAATTGGACAGTCGGTCGGTCGGTCGGTCAGTCAGTCTAATACGCGGCGTGCTAAAATCACCATTGTTCTTATTGTCTGGATAAAATAAGATGTGCAAATTAATATGTGTATTTTAGTATAAATCTCTAATGGTCAGTTAAAAGCACATAGCAACATTGTCTATAACTTTTACTATTATTTGTTCTGTATATACAGTACGATTAGGGAATTGCGCATAGTAATTCAATACAAACTTGTTCCAACTCTATTGCATTTTCCAAAATTTGTTGCCTTCTTTTATTGTATGCAGAACTTACTCTTCTTGACAAATTCGTTTATATTCATTATTGCGGCGAAATACGTAGTCCTCGTCCTTTGGTACATAATTACTATTAAATAAACATGAGTGGTGAAGTGACTGTGGTCCACAATGGAGTCATCTGCAAAAGTGATATCATGAAGAAGACTGACAGCAATACGGCGATACCGTTCATCGAACAGCCTGTTAAAAAAATACCGTCAGTAACCATATCTTCAGCATCAATATCCAAATCATTCACGTCGTCATCGTCATCTTCGTCAACATCATCGCATTTATCGTGTACAGCCGATAGTGGCATTGGTAGTCTCATGTAATTCTCTGAAAATTTCACTATAGTTATACCTACTGTGATACCATATCTCTAGACTATCTTTTGCTATATGTATTATTTTATAAAAACACTCATCTACATACCTACATAGGTGCATAAGTACGTAGAAATTCATTTTCCCCAGGTCTTCTGTCTACCTTATCCATTTCTAATCCATTTGCTGATACTCTTTTCATTTAATAGAAATCATTCATGTACTTGTTGATGCAATATATTCTTATAAAGTGTAAATTTGCATGCTACCTTGTTTAGTATTGGTTATGGTATGTACATATATGTATATTGTCTTTTCTGATAATCAAAAGTTAAGTATATAGGACCTACATACATGCATGTATGTATATTCATATGTATTTTAGAAATATGCATTTGCGTTGTCGCTGTTTTGTTCGTCGTCACTGTTGTTTCGCTGTAATTGTGACAAGGAAACTTAATACAAATTGCAGAATGTTATCAAAATTATAAATGGATGTATGTATGTAGCCGTTGCAGCAGCTGCTCAAAAAAAAAAGTAGTGGTAATATTTATTTATTTAATTGGAAAAAATTCGTCTCCATTCAGATGATATTTAAGATGAATGTATGCTTATACGACTCACATACGTATGTGCATATGATCATCAAAGATTAGCATACTCTGTTGCTGTTGTTCTTGCTGTTGTTGTAAACGCAAAAATATTCCTAAAAGTAATTTTTGTGACAGTCCTTGGCCGGATAAAACATCCGAGTGGTTCCGGTAAAAAGACCCGACTGTCGCGGGAACAATTGTATTTTAGCCGTCTATTCAGGTATGCCTTAAATTCTTGAACAACTAACCCGCAGGGGGTGCCTACACTCTTTGTGACTAATGTTGCTTTTCACGTTTGATTTTGCGATTTTGCTTACGTCGATATAAAACAGAAGGCAAATCTCCCTTTGTGGACAGTTTTCTATAAATAAACATACACATAGTATATAATGAACAACAGCTGAAGCACATGTAAGGGAAATCCATCGCAAGCACACGTCGCAGGTACTTACATACATACATATATACTACATGCTTATTTGCCGGCATATTGAACTAGCCATGCAATTCTATTTGAAATTTTAAATAAATGTGTAAGTAAATACATGTGCTATGATAGAATATCTAAGTAGAAATGCCAGCCTTTCAATTGGCTAAATTGATATGAATTAGATCGATTCGATTTAAGGTCATCGGTCATCGTCAATGTTGCAGTAAACAGTGAGAACGATTGTTCGTTTGGTTACTCAGTAAACTATTGGGGTTTATTGTGCGCTACATATACATACATACATATGTCTATATAACAAGTATTTTTCGATATTTGTCTTTTAGGCATAAATTTGATGTTCTCAAATTGTCATGATGCATTCGAACATTATAATGGACATAAAAGCATGCCTCTATATACATATATGTATGCATATTTTGCATTTATTTTTTGTGCTCATATAAATTAAAATGTACTTTTACAATAACACAATGACACAGTGATCGCTCTGAATCTATGGATATTTGAAAAGTATTTACGTCCAAATGCAGAATCACGTGGAAAGTCAGCGAGTCAATGGCCTACTTCCAATTGCGTACCTAAAAATAAAATCCTCAATTATGAATTACTTGTCTGATGTATTTAAGTATTTATGTAGATAAATTTTCTACACATGACCATTAATGTTAATATGAAAACAAATTGTCGATATATCATTTTGCTCATAGCTTTTCGGTCACTTATGTCTGCTCTTCTATACCTTAATAATTTTATTTTGTATGCAAAAATTGCCAAAATCATGAAATTACCAAGTTGTTGTTATTACATATGTACATAAGTACATACTTATATTATATGTAGAATATGTAATAATACAACTTTGCACCTAATGTATTTATGTATGCATATTACATAATACTGTGTGAAATTCAAAAATAATTAGCCGTTAAGCTACTTTGAATTATGGCGTTTTTATTGTTATTTTTTTCAATTTTTTTATCACGATCCCTTTATTTACTAATTACTTTTTACACCACAAGCAAAAATCGCATTTTTTGAGTTATGATATTTTTGAAAAAAAAAAAATTTAACGTAGTAATGTACATACATTTATATAAATTTTGGTGCTGGTGCTCTGCATATCCTTACACATATACATACATACAATCTATTTCCCATATCTTTGGTTTAGCACAGTATCGTTTAAACACATAAAATTATATATGTATGTATGTTTATATACAACAATTAACTATTATGCAAATATATACACATACATAAATACATAAAGTATTTAAATAATAATGTGGTAACTTTGTGCCTAACACAATTTGTCCACTTCTACACATTTACTCTTCCAGTGATGATCGTTCAGACTTGACAGAACCGCTGTATATCGATCCAAATCTATATGTAGATATCGGTAATGGGGATTATTGCTGCCCCGCATCGCCCACCACTGTGCCCGGTCGTATTGTTTCCTCAAATTCATTGGAATCACCGGCACGCACCACAACACCAACCAGACCGGCGCGCCGCCAACGTACGACATCGGTGAATAGTCAATCGACCACAGCCAATCCGGCTGAGTGTATTATACGGGCCAATAATCGTACTATCTATACGGCCGGCCGTCCGCCATGGTATAATTGTGCCGGTCAGCAAGTGGAACCATTTGTTATTGGTGAGTACTCTTATTGAATGGTGCACGCTATAAACGTGGAAACTGATAACATACTCGTAGCTATATTTATATATATATACATATGTATTACGTATGCATGATTGTTACCTACACTTATCGGTATATTTAATCAGTTCTTTTAAATATTGTATGTAGTAATTATTGATTTGATAACGTATTTAATGTGACACTGAAATTTATTGCGTTCCGTAGGTGTTTGCGGTGGGAGCGCATCGGGCAAGACAACTGTTGCACAAAAAATTATCGAGAGCTTAAGTGTGCCATGGGTAACTTTACTCTCCATGGACTGTTTCTACAAGGTAAGTATAAGATTTCTAGGCATTTTTTTGCATTTTTTTTTTCATTTTTACTAAATTTACTATTTCTATTATTATTTAATATTATAGATATTAACGGAGAAGCAACATGAACAGGCGTTATTGAACGAATATAATTTCGATCATCCTGACGCATTCGATATAGACTTATTAGTGGAGGTGTTGACTAAACTTAAAGAGGGTCGTATGGTCGAAGTGCCCATCTATAATTTTGTAACACATTCACGTGAATCAAAGACTGTAAGTTGAATTTGTTTTTTTCTTTTCAACATCAAATTAGTTAAAATTCTATTTTTTATTTTCCAGAAAACAATGTATGGCGCTAATGTCATCATTTTTGAGGGTATTTTAGCATTTCACAGCACAGAAGTACTTAAACTTTTAGATATGAAAGTGTTTGTTGACACCGATGCAGACATACGTTTAGCTAGGCGTCTCAAAAGGTGAGTGTTAGGTGGTGTACGTGTCAGAGCAATAAGAAAACCATTAGTTCATCACTAAATCTATAGTTATATGTAGTTGCTAATAAAAACGCTTAATATTTTTTACAACGTGTTTTTAGTTTGTATACACACACACATACATATGCATGTGATTTGTAAATTATGATTGATTAATTTGCTAACTATTAGATTTAATTGCGTCTATAAAAAATCTCCCTTTCATTTAGCGTTTTTTAATTAGTATTTATTGCGCTCAGCAGAGTTTGATTTGTATACACAAATGTACATATATAAACATAAGCAAAATATTTTTATATGTTAAAAAAATATTTACCCCAAGAGGCCTTATCAGCACGCGTTATCAGCCAAGAAGCGGTGAGAGATTTCTTGTAAGTAAGTACATGAGATAATCTCTGGGCTCTGGCGATTTCGCAATTAACTCAGTATATAGTCCGAACATATTTAAAGAGAATTATTCATGAATCCCAGTAGAATAAGATTATGTTAATGCTTTTTAATTTAGTAAAGGGTTAAATAGAGGAGCATCGTCTATTCATTACTGTTAATACGAAAAATTTTGTCCATTTACAGGGACATTTCACAACGCGGTCGCGATCTCAGTGGTGTACTTAAACAGTATTTAACCATGGTAAAGCCTTCTTATGCCAATTATATAGCGCCCACTATGGCGCATGCCGACATCATAGTGCCACGCGGTGGTGAAAATAAAGTAGCCATACATCTCATAGTTCAACACGTTCATACACAACTACAATTGGTTGGTTTTAAATTTTTTTAATTATTTAAAAAAAAAATGTTTGACTTTTTTTGTTTGTTTGTTTTTGGTTTCTTTACTTTATAGCGCGGATTTAAATTGCGTGAGACTTTAGTAAATTCATATAAGGATCAACCCATGCCAGATTCGCTACATTTGCTGCCACCGACGCCACAAATTAAAGGACTGCATACGTTTATACGTTGTCGTGGCACATCTAGAGATGAATTTATATTCTATTCTAAGCGTTTAATACGTTTAGTTATCGAATATGCCTTGAGTTTGTTTCCATTTAAAACAACAACAGTTGAAACACCACAAGGAGTGCTCTATGAAGGTGAGTTCCCATCACATATACACATTCATTATGTATATATATATATTTAAAAACTAATATTAATAATTAATTACATGTTTTTTTTTATTAAATTACAGGTAAACGTATGGGTTCTAGAAAAATATGTGGCGTGTCTATCTTGCGTGCCGGCGAAACAATGGAACAGGCTATTTGTGATGTGTGTAAAGATATTCGTATTGGTAAAATTCTTATACAAACGAATCGCAATACAGGCGAACCGGAGCTATATTATTTGCGTTTACCTAAGGATATCAAAGACTATAAGGTAATTCTTATGGATGCCACTGTTGCTACGGGTGCGGCTGCTATGATGGCATTACGTGTGCTACTGGATCATGATGTACCCGAGGAGAATATAATATTAGCTTCATTGCTAATGGCTGAAATTGGTGTACACTCGATTGCGTATGCCTTTCCGAAAGTGAGAATAGTCACATCAGCTCTGGATCCTGAAGTGAATGAAAAATTTTACGTGATACCCGGTATTGGTAATTTCGGTGATCGCTATTTCGGTACTGAACCTTCTGATGACTACCTTTAACCAATTTAGCTTAAGTCAAATTAACTTATAATAATGCAAAACATAAATGCAAGATATGAATTGAATATCAAGTCTTTTACTATATGATTGATATTGTAAATTTAATGTTGAGCGCATCTACTCCGAACAATAATGCTTCTAAGCGCTGAAAAAATGTATTCAAATTTCGGCAACAGCTTCTACATATGTACATATACATATAAAGTAATTGAAACTCAAATGTAAATACTAAATATTTCAGATTTCATGTTATGTGCAATTTTATTTTTGTATAAATAACTACATAAATTTCATCAGTAATTGAAATATTAATGCCACAAATAACATTACTAAACCGAATCCAGCATATTTGCTTATGACGTCCTCTTTGTCACACTCAAAACTACTGTTAACTTTGCCATTAGAAATGTGACCATTTTGCTCTTGCTTTATAGCACAGCGCGTCCAATCAGATTCTTCGTCAATTATTTCGGCACTCATACTGAATTTGCTGGTGTCCGTTATGCGAACGCGCACTGCAGTGCCAAGTAGATTATCGCGCATTGGCAGCAATACTTGTTCATAACTTTTGTTATGTCCAACGTAATGTTGTTTATCGTGCGATATTTCTGTTACCAATACAGTATATTGCTCACCCTTACGCCCTTCATACGGTGAATAGCTATTGAAGAGATCGGTCAAGCGCTTAGTACGTTTCTTTACCAGATTTGCTGGTATTCGTTGCATTTTGGCCGCAGGTGTGCCAGGACGTGGAAAAAATTGATTTATGAACAGACTTGGAAAGCGATATTTAGCACACATTACCATTGTTTCTTCAAAGTCTTCCTCGGTTTCAGTTGGGAAGCCACAAATAATATCAGTGGCAATGGTTATGCCCGGCACCTGGCTACGTAGAAAATCAACTACATGCTCAAAATCGCTTCGACAATATTCACGTTTCATGTCGCCCAACACTGAATCGCTACCACTTTGCACTGGCACATGAAGAAATGCGTATACTCTGGGATGATTCAACACTTTTGCGATTTCTTCCAGATGTTCCAGTATGTAAGGTGGATTAGTCATCCCCACGCGTAGCATACAATGCTCTGGTATGACTGCAACTAACTGCCATAATAATTCTGGCAATGAGGTGCCAATATCTCGTCCATATGCGCCGGTATCTTCAGAAGTTAACCAGATTTCACAACAACCCTCAGTGAAAGCTTGAATAGCACGTTCCACGATCTCTTGCGGCGGGTAACTGACTAAATCGCCGCGTGCATGTTTTGTCTTGCAGTAAGTGCATTGATTAAGACAGCCCGTGTTAATTGGTATAATTTCGATTAAAGGATTTTTGCGTACTTTAGGCAGCGCTAGGCGTGCGCCCGCTACACGTTTGCCTTGCTCCTTTTTATTTTGTAATAGACGCACACTATGACCTTTCAATGTCTCCTCCACCACTTCTACTACGCGATCAATTTGCTGTACGCCAATCACCGATAGTCCACGCAGGTAATTAGATTTGGGCGCACCTTGTGGCACACAACCGGCTACCACGACATGTTTGCCATTCGACATACCAGATTGAATTTCATTACGAAAGGTATCCTCTGATGGGTTCTTCACTGTACAACTGTTAAGTAACCATAGATCTGCTTCTTCCTTTGTGTTCGTTAAATTATAACCGTATGCCGCCAGCTGACCTGCCATGTACTCCGAGTCCGAGTTATTATGTGCACATCCCCAAGTTTTTACGTACACTTTTTGAGTTCCTGGTATGACACTTTCGTAGATTGTCTTCTCCAGTAATTCTGGCGTTTCTACATTTGTATCACTACCAGCAGCATGATTGCGCTTTTTGGGGCGTACAGATACACTCTTCTTATTTTTATACCGATCACGCGGTTTTATATCATCTGCAGATATGAGATCCTCAATGTCATCGATGTTATTTTCCGGTAAATCCTCCATTTGGTCCAGGACGTGCTCAGGCATTTTTGACGTTTAACCATGTGTAGTGTTGTTACTGTTGTGTGTATTTGATGTTTACAAAAATCGAACGGACTAGAGACAGCCAGCTGGTGTGAATAACCGATGTATGTGCTATCGATAAATGAGAACAAATACTAATGTGGGTCAAAATTTATAAGTTTTTCTATAACATTTGGAAAACAATTCAATCCTGGCCATGTAATCTTGGTAACTGCAAATACATTTGAGCTCAATTGGGTTGTTTGGGAAGTCCCGAGCGAGATATCCTCATTCCTACGAATGAAATAAATATACATTTTATTTAGGCCAGAGCCTTGTGTACCTTGTCAGGACTTGACCCCACTGAAAATATAAACTTTGGTTATTGGTATTAAGAATAACCAGAGTTGGAAGAAGAGCAACATATAATAGACAACTCCTGCACGACATTTTCTTTGCTTAGTAGCCCGTTCCAGGACCGATCAAAACTGGATGCGCCACTATCTCTTATATAAGAATGCCGTAAAATTTCCCAAGTAAGATGTTAATTCACCAAGTAAAACCGACAAAACTATACGCCATTTATCGAGGAGTTTAGTCTTACGGGAGCTTTGCTTAAGGTCTGCCAATAAATATTATAACAAAGTTACCTAGAAATAGCAGGATTCCTTTGTAGAACACTTCAGTTATGGATCAATAATGAATAAACAATCATAAATATTTCTTCTCTTAAAACTTTAGTCCTTTCGTCCTGGACAGATATACAATAGACACTAATAATAAGATACTAACAATTCTACTCATACAATTGGAAAACGTGTTTAGACTGTCACGTTTCTTTAATTTCATTCTTACAAATACTGCAAACTGTTATGGGCTGCCGTCGACCACGTCCCAGTTGTTCTCGTTCACGTTGGCGCTTGTATTTCGCAACCAGAGCTGAGTTATTCAGATCTGGACTGCGTGGAGTTTTGCTGCAACAACAGCAGTAACAACAGTTGAAAAAATTTAACGGTACTGCTTCACCCTCTTCAATGGTTTGTGGTAAATTCCTACCACGCGTTTCTGGCAGGAAAAGACTAGCAAATCCACCAATTATTAATAAAATGCCCATAATGATTAGTGGCAGAACAAGCATACGTTGACCCTGAAGTACGGAGAAACATGGAAAAAAAGTAGAAGGTTGCTGGAATTGCTGTTAACCGCACACTACTTACCATATGATTAATAATTGGTATGACAATTGGTCCGATCATCGCAACAACCGAACTGAAGCTCATACCCAAACCACGCACAACTGTTGGATACAACTCAGAGGCGAGCAATGGTAATACTACAAAAGCCGAGGAAATACCCATTTTACCAACGCAATAGAGTAAGAGCATTATCTTGGGTTGGTCATCGTATAACAAAGTCAGGACACAGGCCGCACCACCGACCAACATAGAAATACAAAGTATCCAACGGCGTCCGAAGTAGCTTAAGCCTGGCCACAGCATTATGTACGTAGGTAGCTCCACAACGCCAGCTAAGAAGAAGTTCCATATTTCATCGCCACCCAATGCTGGCGCATAATAGCTTAAGCCGACATAGACGCTTGTATTTGCAAACCAGATTAGTGTTATTATCAAAGTTTTGCGACGCATATTCGTGGTTCTAAATAGGTCCAGGATACCATACGATGTGTCTGGATCCTTACCCACCGCCGCCACAGTTTGTTCCAATTTCTGTTGTACGATTTTTACAAAATCCGGTGGAATATTATAACCGTTGACGCGTGCAATGGTTTTCAAAATGCGAGCAGCCTGACGTGTCTTACCCACAGCGATGAGCCAGCGTGGTGACTCTGGTAATACAAAATAGCACGAAAAAAGCAAGAGTAGAGGAAGTGATACCGTTAGCGTGAGAAAGCGCCAATCCCGTATGAGATAAACTATGCCCGCCAATAGCACCAGACCACATGAGTAAGCAATGTTCGAGACAATAGTACAGAAGACGCGTCTGTCGGGACCAACCAGCTCAATGGCTATACATGAAAATTATGAGAAATTATATAATAAGTATTGTGACTGCATAACACAATTTACCCAAAACATATGGACTCGCTAGTATAGCCGGTACAGTCAAACCCACCACGAAACGCATACCCAACCATGAGTAGTAGTTCCACGCAAAAGCGCTCGCTGCACAGGCGACAATTTCAATGATGAGATAAACATAAAAGGATGGACGACGACCCCAGATGTCTTGCAAATAGCCGAACACATAGTTACCGATCAAACCACCAACACCAAAGAGCACTAAAGCAAGCGTGACCAAAAAACTCTGATCGCAAACCAGGTTCCACTAAGAAAAAAAAAATTAATAAAATAAAAAAAATAAAAAAATTAGAAATAATCCATGCATCGAAAGTAATAATAGCAAAAACTCCCTAGTATTATGCTGACATTTTACCTCAGTGACAACTGTGCTGGCGTACATAGTGCGATCATAATACCAGCCGTGTTGACATGTTAGCACCTGCGCTCCCCCAGGATTGCCTATTTGCCACACTTTATCCTCTTGCAACTCCAGCGGTGTACGGTACTCCATATAGCGTACAATATCCGAGTAGTTACGATTGTACATCGCACAGCTCGCATATTCCACACTGTTATTCAATGCGCTCAAAGGTATGCTTAGATTTTTCACCAACACTCCATAGTCCTGCGCCCATGGCTCTAGTTCGGGTACGCGGCACCAGTGTTTCGGCGTCGCTGCTATAAATAATTGACTATGGAATTTGATTATTGTAAATATGTTTGCCAGCAAGCACTCAGCCACTCTTCGTAGTGCAAAAATCACCTGTAAGCATGGAAGGCACAAGGCAACGCGGCAGGCAGCAGTACAGAGCAGATTATAATTTTCTGGTACAAACCAAAGGATCCGACCTCTTTAAGTACTTCATCAAAATCCATGGGTGGCGGTGGTGGTAATTAGACGGTTAAAATAATTATCATAACTCTCTAATTAGTTTGCTTTTCCAAAGTGACTGCAGGCCACGCAACAAGTACTATTAGCAACACAAAAGTCCACTTGGAACTGAACGCCTGCGAATCAGCAGAAATTAATGAGCGAATGATGTTGTACTTGTATAAAGCCCAGCCCCAAAAATACTTAATACATATTTAAGCAATTGTGCGCGTCGTTGCAGCGTAAATATTAACCGTGCATTAGCGGTTTGCATGAATGTCGATTTGATTTTCCGCTAAATCTGTTATAACTTAGTCGCTTTGACTTACTTGACGTGTAGTCGTTTTGATTTTCAAATTCAATTGGTCATAATTACATTACGGGCACTGGTCGACTTAATTAATTGGCTACCATAGCGTTGCCAAGGTCTCTGTCTCAATGGGTGATCAAAAAAGCCACATGGTACGCCGTTGGAGGATGTGTGTTTACGTATAACTTGCTCTAAAACACCTTTGTGGTTGCCGCAAAAAGACTAGTAAAAATTGAATCTAATTAAGAATGCTTTTTATACCAGTTCCTAAGTGGCATGCCAGAGGACAGGCGGTTGAAGAATGAACGGAAGGCATGTTTTCTTCACAGGCTTGTACTCAGCGTAGTTTTCGTTCTCCTTATGTAAGCTGGCTATAACCGCTTAGGCGATTTTCTACCGAACTTCTTTAATCTACGATATGCGTGTCTTCATGCGGTTCTTCCAAAATAATGAAAAGAATAACGGTTTTAAGTTGCCTCCAAAAGGTTGTTGAATTTTTATAAGAAACAATGCATCGTCCACCACATAGCCGGGTAGTTAGCATTGCGTGTTGCTATAAAAATTATAGTAAATTCATTTTTCTGATCGCGGTCACCTCTCGGCAGAGCATTTTTAACATGAAATAAAAGCTTTTCATAAAAATTCATCAGCCGTTCGGAGGCGGCTCAGAATAAACTGTAGGTCACTTCATTTGTGGAAAAAACTTCAAGACGCAAAACAACAAATTGGAGGTGGAGTTCGGCCGAAAATCGCTTCAGTGGTTACCAAGTGACAATTTCACCTATAACCACTAGATACACTCAGAGGAATGGGCATTCTCTGCCGAGTAGGGATTGCATTAAGCAATTAGCTGGAGCTCACAACCTTTCAGCTTGCAGCACGCTATACGTATTCGCACGGCAAGAAATTCTCTGCAATCATATAAAACAACAGAAATAGTGAGCGACTTTAAAGGAGTCGGCAACAATCAGGCGGGTTGCGTGCCTTGTTTCACTGTTGTTCTTACTTCTTGCGCGATTATAGCCGAGTTAGCAACATTGCGCCATTCATTTCTTCTTTTCACCGTACGGCGACATCTGGACAAACCAAGTATAGCCGAGTCCTTCTTCACCATGTTATTCCAACGGATTGGAGTTCTCTACTTCCACTGCTTTCACTGGCGGGTACTGCAACAAAAACTTTCAAATCTGCAAAATTCTTATTCATCCGAACACCATAATCTAGCCAGCGCTGCTTCTTGATTCGCTGAACTATTTAAATGTTACCTCATATGTCGTACAGCTCAACGTCCCAAAGCCGTTGCCAACGCGCAGAGACCCATAAATCTTAAGCAAAGCCTTTCTCTCAAAAACTCCCAATGTTAACTCATCAGATTTTTAGTTTAGATTTTGCTCGTCGTGGAGAGAGCACTTTACTTTGATATTGCGAGCTCCATAAGGCTGACAATTTTTGTTGGTTTTAACTGTGGTTCTAAGAGAGTTGAAGTTATCACGACTTCTAAGTAATGACTATCAAGAGTGTAGTGGGCGCCAAGACACGAGTGCGCAGATCGCTTAGTTGATAAAAGAAGAAATTTCGTTTTACCCTCGTTCATTACCACTATCATTCATTTCAATATCCTGCAGCAGTTTCACACTCTTATAGAAGACTAGACCACTCTATTCAGTTCTGATGTTCGTCGAAAAGGTTCAGTTTTGAGCTTTGACTTATTATCATAAATCATGGAAGAGCTGGACTTAGCTGATATATGGTTTCAATAAGCCGGAGGCAAATGTCAGATGGCACGCGAAAAAGTGGCCAGGTACAAACTCTTTTGTAGGGCCCTGTTAACTCACATGTCTATAGCCCGCCACGATTGAGGCACTGTAGACCAATATTTAAGAATTTTTTCGTATGACACCATATCGATGGGTTGGATATTGTATGTCAAAATTGAGTCCGGATTATGGACCTTTTCTAGCTCATTCATGAACTTATATCGCTCGTTCTAACGATCGATCCGAATTATACCGGTCGAAATGTTATTGCGCGTGGGATTTCCAGGTCATTAATAACTAGACTCTTCCGCTTCGTTCTTTAAGTCTGGAAAAAGTAGAACTAAATGCAGATTTGGCGCAACCCAGCCACAAATACAATATAATATTTTATCATTTTTAAGATGATTTCGAGGCGAGCTTAATTAGAGAGTCTTTGTTTAGACCATACATGAAAAAAGACAGATCATATTGGGTTCGTATGCGAAGAATTTGGTCTGAAGCCAACTGAGTATAGTTTTATTTAAGTCAAGAGTAAAGCAGGCAGATCTGGCGCTTGAAACGAAGAGATGAGAACCAAATCACACTGCTCCTTCTGCTCCTAAGCAGGCTTTCTATAAACATAACATATGACCAGACACACATTCGGATGGATGAGAGTAGAGAGGAGTCTCTTTCACATGTCACACGTCATCTCACACGTCATCATAACGGGCCAGCAGTCCTAACTGCGTTTACTCAGAGTTCCATGCCGGAACAACTTCAATAACTAATGGAAACACACTCTTATGACTACTGGGATGTGGTGAGTTATGATTCTATTTGGTTGTTGGTTATTTGAAAAAATTAAACTCATTTCGAACAACTCAAGTGCATACACGTACATATGTATTGCGCGGAACAGCATTAGAATTTCGATTGCGCTATTTTTAAGCTTAGGAAATAGTTCATCCACAGTCCACAGCTGTGTATGTGCGCATTGAAACTGCAGATAAAGCGGTGACTAGCGAGTCCTGGACCGCCTTACAGAAGGGATATATGTATATACATATATATTTATAACAGACGGTCGAGCTTCACTTCGAAATCGTGGTACTTATAGTTTATTTCAAACCGCCTTCGAACGGCTGTGGGTTTTTTATGACGACCTTTTTTATTTCATGCCAGAAATTCGCTCGGAGGGCTTGATTTTCCCTGCCGAGGTGCGAAGGGTATTAGAAAAATGAATTTTCTATAATTTTGGATATCGGTCGAGCCAGTACTCGGACGCTGGTTTTCGGAATGGCAGAAACGCGATGCCAACTACTCGGCTATCGCGGACGCCGCAAGAAGCTATTGGGTTTGTAAAATGTAATCGCTTGGTCTAACTGTCAATAGCTAACAAGAAAAGTACTTTGTTTTAATTAAATTCAAAGTAATATTATATGTATGTATGTATGTGTTAAATAAATAAATTAATGACAAACTCAAAAAAATATAATTTGTTAACTCCATAAATGTTTTACCATTACTTCGCTTTTCTCAATTGTCCACAATGCCCATTAGGGTAAGTATATACATAAATAAGGTGACCACATCTGTGTAAATACTCAAGGCTGCAAATATATAATCTTCTGAACTAATTGCGTACTTATGCTTGCCACCGAGCATCATTTGTATGTCGAAGATTATGTAAAATGAGAATATGACAATCCCGATGGAGCAGTAGACTATAATTAGGGTACGGGAGGGCACAAAGATGGCCACGAGTCCGATGATAAGTAAAATAACTGTACCGATTAAGAGGATGGCACCGCATGCGGTGAAATCGATTGCTGTTTGCATGGCAAATATAGTGAGAACCAGCACTACAATTGCCGTTATACCGATGGCATAAAGAACCTGAAACAGTATTAAGAGATGAAGAAGAAGAAATAAGTAACGTTCAAACGAGAATCTTATAACCACGTAGTACTCACGACATCGGGCGTATACCGAATGGCGATGCAACCCAATAGAAACGATTCGGCCACCGTGAATAGTATAAGAAGTATGAAGTTCACTGGAAAACTACGTCGTGCACTTTCACAACACATAATCGGTATCATTGTAATCATCACACAACCCAACGCTAGCCACATAAGCCAACGGTGTTCTTCAACGAAATCCTGTATGGCATCAACGTAAACGAAGAGGAGAACAATACCGAGTGTCAAAACGATTTGCGCCTGTAGGAGGAATAGATGATGAAGATGATCAACGCTAGCTTGTGTGTAACCCAATGGCTAATTATACTCACGCCAAGTATACCGAATACTTTCGAAATGAATGCATGACGCACATAACGGTCATCGAAGTCTTCCATATTAAAGCTCTCTACATCGCGTCTAATCATTATGGGCACTAAATTCTCTCGGCTCATAGAGGAGGAACGAAAAACATTAAGAATGAAGTTGTAACTTTTGCGTTTATCTTTTCTCGAAAAACTTTTAATGAAGTTTCAAATAATTTATGATTTACATATGTCTTTGTCTTTCTTCTATGAAAATGCTTTTCTTTTTGTTTTTATGAAAGTTCGCACATCCGAAATAATTACACATACGGCCCTGTTGGGAAAAAGGAAAATTTTGAATGCATGAAATCGACCTTGGAGTTTTTTGTCCGAATAGATGAAAACACTCCAGTTTTGAAAAATTCGATGCAGCACCCGACGGGGAAAGCAGAGAAACATAAAGATCTCCATTCCGATGGAAAGAAATTGGCGAAAAGCAGAAAGGACTGAGTTGCTGTTGTTAAGTTAGGTTAGGTTGAGGTGGCTGTCGGACATTAGCACACTCACTCACTATCAGTCAGTCCTATTGTAATACCACTGCGGACTCTATTTAGCCTACAACCGCTAGTCAAACCAATGTGTGAATTTAGCAGAACAGAGCAATCAATTTAACTCTGCACCCGCTACTTCGCTCATGTCTCCAGAGGTTGTCGCTAGTCCACCTACAGATTTCAACCTACTCCTCTGAAGTGCCGGGCATTCCCAAAGGAAGTGCCTTAAGGTCTCAGGTTCTGCTTCTTCTCTCCCACTTCTGCAGAAGCCATTTGATGATATAGTCAATCTCTCTGCGTACCTACTTAAAAGAAGGTGCCCTGTTAGAAGATCCATTACCATTGATAATTCTTTCGTTTTTTGCGACACAAGCTTTCTCGACCTTTTCTTCAGTGAAGTCGTCACAATTATTCTGCAGTATTCATCTACGACGAGACACTCTCCTACGATGAGCTTGCAATTAGAGAGCGTCATAACCAGACTCTTCCATGATGGCGAAAGTGTAAGGCAAGTGCTCTTTTCTACAAGTCCGTCCGCCATCTCGCTACCTGCTACTATGTTATTACCCATACTGAGATCAAAGAGAACTGCTGGACGAGCGTTTAGCATTGCATACTGGCCTTCGGAAAACCTGGTACACTTCACCGAGAGCAATATTTGATCTAAACAATTGGCCACCAGTTCCACTTGAAAAATATTACAGGGATCAGGCAGTTTCAAGTATGTGCAGATGCCAAGTTTCTTTGAGTAGACTCCACAACCCAGCCTACTTTTCAGTTTTGGTCCATTCGTGTACCAGTAAATCCCATTTGCTTATGTTGGAGCCCTCTTTGGTGTCTATCTGGAATAACCACCTCGAAGTCTTTCCTGAAAGTTGTGCAGTCGTCCGCCCTATCTGGTCGACGAAACCTTCTTAATGTGTTGATGTGACCGTTGTTTATCAACCTCATATACTTGTTATATCTATGGGCAGTAGATCTAAGAGAACATCCATAGCCTCAATAAATGTGGTCAACTATGCCACACTAATGCATATGAGAGCTATCATCTGCTATTGTTAAATCGACTAAGCGATATGGACGTCAGTAAATAAGAAGAAGAAGTTATATTATATATTCGAACTGTCCTTGAGAGTACCCTTTCGAGGATGACACATGACGGAGAGAAATTCTGCTAACCTCTCCTTCTGCTATTATTTAATATTGGCTTGACTCTGACTTTTCGGGTAGTCACATTTGAACATCGTGTTTAAGGTCGCTTCTGATCCGTGCACCTAAATGTTTCCCAACAAATCCAATTTTAATATCTAAAATACACCTTTTGACAATCTTTACATATTTTCCATAATTCCGGATCTTAGGAGTAGTAGTAGGCCAGCTTGGTAACAGCGGTAGCAATCGTAAACGGTCATAAATCTTTGACCGAGTCTAAATCTCTTAAACTTTTGACGTTATCTTTCAAAATCAAGCGAGGCCACATCTTTATTGACACTGGTGAGCTATTGACCTTTCAGGAACTGGTACATACGTATTCACAAATAATTTCTATAATTGCCTAAGAGTGTCTCTTGGCCAGCCCTCAACTTATTCCCGCCATAAGACTACTTCGCATAAGTCAGATGTGACTTTCGAAGGTTTCTTCAAGTTGACTCATTTATGTATTCAGAGTTACGACAAGCTCTGCGGGTTGGTTCGAGTAAAAGTATTGTTTCAGGTGCCTGGCAAATCCAGGCGATATAAAAACCTGTCATTTCCTAGTTCGGGTTGACTGGTTAAATAAAAGCTCGGGTATTGTCGAAAAATTCATACAACTTGCCGTCAACCCTGTGCCTACTCGATCCCCTACTACTCAGCACATGACATACAGATCCTTGGAATGGAGTTTACTTTACCGCCCCTAGGTAATTTTGCGGTCCGACTCATGTTGACGGCGCTTCAAGTACTCAATTTAATGCATTGCGAAGTTCGAATCTCATTTCAGTTTCAGCAGAGCTTACCTGAGCTTAGAGCTAGAGAACATATTCAGAGATTTAAAAATCATTTTACAACATTTATTTAAAAAAAATCTTTGGTACAATTAGTTTGGAAATTCCTTACATAGTCTTTCGTACGTCTCTGACTTTTTCTTACACTGAACTTACAACTAAATCTTTTATGGCATAAATTTTAGCTCCTTGCAGCTCCGATTATGGCCAATATATACATAAAGATATTTATAATATCCAAGTAAAGATTGAGCGCTGCAAAGATGTACTCTTCCGGACTAATAGCATATTTATGATTGCCGCCCATCATCAGCTGAGTATCGTAGACCAGATAGACAGAGAAGAGCAGGGCACCCAGAGATGAGTAGACCAACGTTATCACCTTGCCAGGTATGAAGATAGCCACAATGCCAAAAATGAGGAACACAACAATGGCAACTAAGAGTACACCACCGCACATTGTGAAATCCCATTTAGTTTGGAAAGCGAAGAGTGTTAGAGCAAGACACACAGCAGCTGTAATGCCAACAGCCATCATAACCTAGAACACGAACGTGCAGAGATCAAGTTAATGTGTGCAAATGTAAATTACAATGCATATTATTGAATCACCCACCTCAGTGGAGCCATAGTATGTAGCTGTAACACCCAAAAGAAAGGACTCTGCCAACGTGAATAGAAAGAGGAAGATAAAATTTAACGGTGTTTGACGACGTACACTCTCGCAGCAAGCCATGCATATCATGGTAACTAAGAGTACAGCCAATGCCACCCAAAATATCCATGATGTGTGGTGTACCCAATCCTTGACAGCGGTTACGTATATAAATACGGTGATTATGCCAAAAGTGATGAGCAGTTGAGTCTGCGTTCAGGGGAAAAGAAAAGAAACATCTATTAGTATAATTTATAGTCCAAATAAGGTAGAGATTCGAGTGGAACTTACCATAAGTATTGAATAGACTTTACGTATAAAGCCCCTACGTATGCTCTGATCATCGAAGGAGAAGCTTTTCGTGCCTTCCACATCGAAATTGTCACCTGTATAACCGGCTAAGAAAAAATTAGTATACCATTTGAGATGTGTTGTTGTTGGTTGTGCAAAATGTGCTTGAATTGAGTGTCGTTTTGGAGGTGTTTGTGCTTTGGCCTACCATCCTCAAGATAGAATAGGTGGGAAATGTAATTTAAATTTGCCTACAAGGAGTATGAAGAGAAGGAAACGACGATTACCAATCTCTTCTGCATTTGTCCTGCTTTATGCCGTGCTAGGTTTCGGCATACTGTTGGATGGTCTTTCGAAGATAGCTGACGTTAAAGTCAAAGATCTAATGGGGCTCATTAGAGCATCAAAATGGTTGGATAATGAAACCTGCTGGACAAGTTTTTGTGGCATCACATTCGGTCTTAGTGAATCCGATTCGAAAGATCGGTAGCCACTACAATCTAACCTAACCCGGCTACAAAACTACTAATTTCCAAAAAAAAGCCACTCTCAACCGTAAAGCATTTTTAAGAAAAGGAGAGCAGTTGAACAGACAGGAGAAACACGGCCGGTTAATTCACGTGTGTTTAGTAGAGCAAGCTAAGAGCTCAAGAGATCAAAGGGTACGCCACAATAATACCCACAAAATAGCTGTCTAATTTAGGTCAGCCCTCGGCTGAAGACTACATACACGTACACTTTATTCGAAACCGCTGCCGAACGACTGATGGATTTTTATGAGAAGATTTTTATTTTACTTGTTAGAAATACGCTTGGAGGGTTGAATATTAGAAAAATTAATTTTCAATTTAGTTTTCCGTAATTTTGAATAAATGTCTGGCCAGCATTCGGAGCCAACGCCCTCCTACCATGCCCCTACTACGGTCGCTGGAGTGTTTAAAGAAGTACATTGATCTCCACTAAGCCCAAACGAAGAATGTCAGTGATATGACTGGCCAAATTTACTAAAGCCAATGATGAAAAACTGCTAAGATCTGCAGCCGAGATTATACGCCAAGACCAGAAGGTTTCCGGAAATTGAAATTTAAACTGCCCGCGCTGAATATTTTTTTTTCAATATCCTCTGCTGTTTACGGCCTCAATTGAGTCGAAACGGGTTCCACGGAGGTGTAACTTGAGTTTTGGTAACAAAAAAAAGTCGCGTGGGATCAAGTCTGCTGAATACGTTGTGGGTCTTAAAATCGTTCACAACTACAGCTCGGTGCGATGGCGCATTATCGTCATGAAAATTTCCTCAAATAGTTGGCCCAAAGTTTCGGCTGTTTACTTTGTCTTCGGATGTTTCCGCGCAAACGACGCAAAACGCTCAAATAACACTCCTAATGGCCGTCCGTCCCATTCGAACGAACTCATGATGAACCAAACCGTGAATATCGGAAAAAACAATTTCACTGGCAGCAGCGGTAGAGAATAACCTTCACTCCGCTGGCTGGGATTTGGAGGAAAGCGACTTAGTATTTGTATTTGACGTCAAATAGCGGATAGAAGAAACGAAAAGCGGTCTAAATTTTGATTCGGCTATAGTCACATAGGCAGTGCCAACGCCAATGAAGAAGAAAAAGAAGAAGAAAAAGAAGAGGAAAAAAGCTTAATTGCGGCCGAGTTCTAGAAATTTACTCCCTCTATTTATAATTTTTGGGGTATAATCTTTTGAAATAGCGTCACGCCGTGATAAGAGTTCGGGAGGAAATAATTTAAATTGTTTATTGTAGTATATGAGTGTGTGTGCGTGCATCAGTGTATATGAATTTTTTGAAGTGTGTTCGTCTATAGCTGTGATAAGTGCAAAGGAAAAACAGTAGCAAAATTTAATATATGATTTTTTATAATAGAAACAACAACAACAACAAATATTAGTAATTTTCAACAAACGGATACCTTTTAATAGTATTTTCACAAGTTATAGCATCGCTATCAGAACACTACTATATATTTTGGTATTTAGTTAATGGCAGAATGTGGTAAAATGAAATAATCAGTATCTAAATAATGTTAGGCCAAAGAGTGCGAAGTCTCTATGTGAATATACATACGTACATATACGAAAAAAAAACGTTTGGATTAATATGTCTTTGCTAAAATCAACTCATGCCTATAAACGAGGTGTGCATTTCCAGAAAGTAACGGTACTAAATAAATTTTTGTGGGTTTTTAACTTTTTTTGTTGTCCAGTTGATAAAGAAGGGTATACATGTTTTCATGCTTTCTTCGAAGTAGTTTATCGCCAACCCCTGCGATCAGTTCTCCATTTTCTCCCTTACCTCCACGTCGGTAATAGAGATTTGGAAAATATTGCATACAGTTCATCCACAATTAATCTGTGCTTTTCATGGAGCGCACTTTCGTTTTTTTTTTCCCAGATATTTTGTCAGTCTCAATTGAAGGTCTTCCACTCCCCTTTTCATATGCGGTAGCCACCTCATTATAAAACTCAAATGAAAGTTTTCCCTTGCAAATGGGATAACGGATGACACCGCGTATTTAAAACTTGCGGGGAAGCTGGATTGAAATCAAAAACGATAACGATCAGGTTATCAGAGCTGTTAGCTTGGAAAACGATGCTAAGTTTTATTACTTTGGAGGCTGTGCAACGGTACTGATCACGAAAACCCCTGCGGGTTGGGGGTTCAAGCAATATAATTCAATTGTTTCCGCGGCAGTCGGGTTTTTATATCGAAACGAGAGCTTGAGCTGCCTTGAGAGACCCGCATGACGCTGGCACAACTTTGGTGTGGATACTGTAGCAGGTTAAACTACTACCTTTTCAGATTCAACCCCAACATACCCAACGTATGCCCTCTATGTGGAGAGTCTCCGCACGACACCAACCACCTTCACATGCCCTCTTAAACCGACACATCTAACCCACCTCTCCGGTCGAAACAGCACGTTTCCTAGACCTCTCTTTAGATGATCTCGGCGGCTTAGATTAATTAACTTGCCTCTAAATGGGGTAAACATAGCCGCTACAACAAAAACAACAGGAGTAGGTTTCGGTGACAAAGAGTTGGTTGGATGATTTATTGCATGCAAGATTCGAAAGTCGTGGTTGAGTTTAAAGCATTTCGTCTGCTATGGGTTTTAGGTGGATTCTTTGGAAGAAAGTTGATTAAGTTAGCAACTGAGGCTCTGTGTTCGTCGTTTAGGTCCTGCCGGTAGCAAGTCGTGTTCAACGGTTCGTTAACACACTGCAAAGCGGATGTCGTACAACCGAGTACTTGCTTTCTCATGTACCCGAGGATGATTCTGCTGGTTGCCAAGATGACTCGTTGCATTAATGGTGCACGGACGACGTGAGAAGGTTTTCAAATTTACAACTATTGGGCAGCTTACTTGGGCTATTTTTCTTAACACTGATGTATGTACATACATATGTAAGTACTTGTACGTGTATGTGTGTATATATGTGTTCTGGTGCATTCCACTTTAAAGTGTAGGCTTCGTCATATGAGGGGAAAACCCTATGCAGGCTCAGTTAGGAAGAAAAGCAGAATGTACATAGTTTGTTGCACATATGTACATACATACGAGTACATACCTTTCAGCAAATGCAATTATTTAGTAACAAATGTATTAGCAATTAGCACTGTCCACTTGGCACTATGACTCATACCACACTATAATGCCGTTAGTCACTGCATACATACGTATATGCATGAATGTATCTATGTTAGTACATAGAAAATTTGTATATAAAATATATGTTAGTGATACCGAGTAGGAACATAGCTGATATTGATTGGCGATTCGCGACTGATAGGCGGGGGGAAAAAAATTTGACTAAAAAAAATTTTTTTTAAGCTAAACTTTGTACACTTGTAATTCCCAGAAACACGTTTCTCACTTTTATTTGAAAACATTTGTACATCTTTATGTACATACACACATATTTTAATACTTGCCTTGATACATTTTCAATATATATTTTTAGAAAAGTAAAACACAATGAAGTGCCGTGAAATCTAACTCATCGGACGTATAAAATCGTACTGAAACCTTTCCAGCTGAATAGCCACCGCAGAAGTCGTGCAGGTGTGTTATTCCAGTAATGAAAAATAAAAAGATATTAACTCTTTCTCTTATCAGCTGATAATAAAATGAACTGATAAACTTTCCCCAATCGTGTTTTCATGTTCACTAATAGTCATAAAATCTAGCAGTAAATTAGTGAGGGCTACATTTCTCATTTAAATTAGTTAATACATACATAAATATGTATGTATTTCTAGAAAAAAAATGTGGCAGTGTATTAGATTTTCGATTTGTTAAATTTTTGAATGGGTCAACTTTATAGCAACTTCAATTTAGCGTTAAATTACAAAAATTAAAAAAAATATTTTTTTTTTTCATACCTACCTACCTGGTACATATCCATAAGATAAAAAAAAAAATAACTACTTTTATGTATTAGAATAAATACTTTATTATAGAATATAAGATTTCGTTTGCTTTGACATACATAAATACATATATTATTAAATTAATTGAATACTCAACTCAAAACAGTTCTTATGATTTTCGAGCTTCACGGTTTTCATTCGCTTTTTTGTTTGTTTAATTTCACATTTTTTTTTACAGAATTTGCTTCGAGCGCACAAAGCAAAATACATTTTTTTTTAAATTAATAAACGATTTATAAACAAAATCTTCTTAACTTTTTGTTAGCCTTTATAATTTGGAATCGGTAGTGATTCCTAATATCTAAACGCATTTTTGTTTGGAATTAGCAAATAGTTACGCATCAGTACTGTTAGCGATTCTTATGTACTTTCGTTAATATCGTAGTAATAATTTGGAAAATGAAGCCTTTTATAATTATTAAATGTAAATATCCATTTCTAAAGTAATTTTGAAAATAATACTACAACTACACATAGAATAAACAAAAAAACAAAACTAAAAATTTAAGGAAAAAAGAATAGCCGATCTCGCTATGCATACATGTATACTCGTATATATCTATATTTGTATATTAATAGTATTGTGTAATAGTGATAACAATTAATAACTTTTTCTTTACTTTTTGGCTAATATTCTTTCGGCTTGCAAGTGTTACTTCTTAGTCATTTTTAAGAAAATATGACTTTATTAGTATATTTCAACTGTCGATTTCTAAATATTCCCCTCAAATATTAGTTGTTTATTAATTTTTGTATTTTTTTTTTTAGAAAGAAATGCATTTAACAACTTTAAGTGGTGTTTATTTTCAACTGTGCTACATTTTTAGAAAGAAAAAATTTTTTACCAGAGACAGTCAGAGTCAGTATTACATATGTATAATAAGTATGGTTTAAGCTTTGTACCTAGCACAGTTTAAATTCAAAATTTAATTAATATGGTTCGAGATTCACTGATCCTAACATATATATGTAGTACATACAGAAAATAAGCACAAAAATATTTTAATACACACATTATTCTATAGAAAACGGAATTTTAAAAAATTGAAAAGTATAGAAAACAAATATCTTCTTAGAGATCTATAGATCTCTACTCAAAATTTTTTCAGTACATTTATTCCTAGTCCCTGGATGCGCCGATTATTGTCAAAATGTACATAAAGATGTTTACAATATCCAAATATAGATTTAAAGCAGCAAATATATACTCTTCAGGACTAATCGAGTACTTATGTTCACCGCCCATCATCAGCTGAGTATCGTAAATGAGGTAAACAGAGAAGAGTAGAGCGCCAATGGAGGAGAAAACTAATGTCATAGTTTTGCCTGGTAGGAATATGGCCACAATTCCAAAAACAAGGAATATAACCATTGCCACTACTAAGATACCTCCGCACATGGTGAAATCGTATTTGGTTTGTGTAGCAAAGAGTGTTAAAGCGAGACAAACCAATGCTGTAACGCCCACTGCCATGAGTACCTGTTGAATTAGATTGTTTTTTTTTCATCATAATAAATGAAAAATCGACTATATTATTTAGTGACTTACTTCTACCGGTGCAAATCGGGTTGCGGAAACACCCATTAAGAATGATTCTGCTAATGTGAATAAGCCGAGGAAAATAAAATTCATTGGTGTTTGACGGCGCACACTCTCACAGCAAGCCATACATATCATTGTAACAAGCAAAACGGCTAATGCAACCCACATGAGATATCTATTCTGTTGTGCGAATCTTTTGGTGGGTTCATGGAAAACAAACAGTGCGACGAAACCAAATGTTACAACCAACTGGCCCTGTTGAAAAGGTAGAACACATAAATACATTAAAAAAAATATTAATAATAATTTTTGTGAATATAAAATTCGTATATTTTGGCTTACCATAAGTATCAAGTAAACTTTGCGTATAAATCCTCTACGAATGCTCATATCATCAAAAGAGAAATTCTTTGGTTGCGATTCGGGATCATCATAGGCGCCATAACCACCGCCAGCTGGTGGTGGCACAACAAAGCCAGGTTGTGGTGCGTAACCACCTGGTGGGTAACCTCCTGCAGGTGGGTAACCACCGGTTGGAGGATATCCTCCGGCGGGAGCGTAACCACTATTTGGTGGATAACCGCCTTGTGGTGGATAGCCACCTTGTGGTGGGTAGCCGCCTTGCGGTGGATAACCGCCATAATATTGTTGATTAGGATCTACGAGGATATACAGATGAATGGTTATTGACAATTTGAATATAATTAAAAAATATAGAAGTAAAAAAGGAATGTAGTTTAATGAGTACTTTTTGTTTAGGACGAAATGCGTTTAGAAATGTAAAAATGTTGTGGATTCCAAAACGATATAAACCAAACAAAACAAAACAGGACAAAACAAAATGTATACATAAATACATATATATATGCATGGCAGGCGCAACTATTATGCAGTCTCAAGCAAGTTAAACTGAAGTGGATAAGTCTTTGAATGTATGGGTATATTTCTGGTTGAATTTTATCGGACAGTTATCTTTCAAGTGTGAGTAGATAAGTTAAGTCAATAAATTTCATACGATCTTTGTATGATACATCATAATTCCAATGGTTATTAATGATGTGATAATTTGATTAATGCTGTTTTACCAACACAATTATAAGTTTTCACGTGGCTCTTATATTGGAGTGTATGTATATATATAGTAAATTAATATATATTCATTTAATTGTATGTAAGTAAATTATGTTTAGACAGTTGCTTTCCTAAGTTGTGGGCTACAAATACAATACAAATTTCAAATATCTATATTACGTATAAATGCCATAATCATCAAATTCTCAACAATACTTTGTTATTAAGTATCACTAAATATTTAGCGCATTCTAGTTAATATAAGAACATCAAAACACTACAAATGATATCCATTAACAAATGTATAGTATTCATGTTTCATTCACTGTTAATAATGATATGTTCTTTTTTTTTTCAAAGATGGTGTAATTTTTGTTTTAATTCAGCCAAAATTTTGAAATCCATATGCATACACTTGGATTGTTTGAGTGATAACGAGCAATTTGCACATGCAGTCGAAAGTATTTACGTTTAGAATTATTAACCTTGATACGTTGAACCACCTTGCCACGACATGACTAGTTGCGCTTTTCCGCTACTAAGACGTATTTACTTTTTTAACCAGAATTTTTTTTGCTTTATTTCCAATTTCAAGTAGTTCTTGTGATTTATTTAAAATTTCGCTTTAAGAAAATTATAAAAAAGGAAAGAAAAATATTAGTTAGTTATGTTGTCATATAACTTACCTGCCATTTTAAGCTTTTACTAAACAAAATAGAATTAATTAGTAGACTTTAAAATACCTGTAAACAGAAGAAATTAGTTAATACAAGTCTTAAATAATACTTTCACATATATATGTATGTATATAAATACTTGTATATACATAAATACAAGCACGCAAATATCGAACGAGAGTAAAATTACCGCTGTGTGAAATAAATATGTATATACATATACGCAATATATGTATACTAATTTGAAGTTCAGATAACGTCAAAAACAGGCTTTATTTCGTTTCTTGTCTTATCAATGCATGATTTCTTATGATTAAATTGCAATATATTTTAATGTTTTATGAAACTTTTTTTTAGGGATAAACGCACAGCTTGTGATGCAGTCATATGCAATGGGTAAAGTACATACAATTAAATTGCAGCGCGGAAGCAGCGGCGGTTTAATTGTGTAGAAAATGACTCATTGCTGGCAGACTATGCTGCTCTTTAATTTCCTTTTTAAGGTCACAAATTAGGACGAAGTTTATCTTAAATTATAAGCCCCAAACATACATAAACTAAATCAATTCGATTGACGATCACACGATACAACTCATGCTAATTGGTTTTTGCCCATCTACGGAGTGCTGATATGATAATTAATTCTCTAGAAACATCTTTTGCCCAGCTTCAACAAAATGCACATTACACTTTTATTACTATGTCGGAATTTGCGAATTATTGATAATTTGTTTTAAATTACCTTTTAGGAATGTTTCGTTTTTCCTTGGAAAAATTTACAATATCTATTTTCACTTTTTATTTATTCCCTTAAAGGCAACGCAAAAAACTGCTATTTGTTTTGGTCGTGATACGATTTCAATTGCGGCTGATATGACGAAATTTTTCATAGTAGAATCAATCGCAGCCAACTCACAGCTGAGCAGGGTTGCATTTATTTTCAGAAAATTATTTTATTTCCTGTCCATGAGATTTTGAAACGAAAGTGAAGCGAAACGTTTTAATGCAAAGAACTTTTGTTACAGTTATTTGAATGTAGTGCTTAATTTGTACATCTGAAAATCCTGAATTATTACTTTGTACAGTCTTATATATAGACTTTTCTTCTGTTAACTCCTTTTAAATTTACCTGTTGACTCAAATGGGAAAAAGTTACAGCTCTGGGCCGGATAATATCGGAGTCAACGTCGACGCGTTTAACTTGTTTGTGGTGAGAATTTCTGATGTATGTGAACCAGCTAGAGTGGTGCCGTTACTGAAACTGGTGAAACCAACCATAAAAAAGATTCATATCGACCAATATCCACCACAGTAGTTTCTTTCTTTGCTTTGCTGCTCCCATCTTCTACCTGCCACCCGAGCCAAGCAGAAGCTAAGTGCATAACTGCACTTAATGTTGCTACAAATAGGTAGATACCCCAGCATTTTCCAAATCAGAAGTATTCGCTATCTCTTTATACTCAGGGATAATACTGAAAAGAAGCCCGAAGGATCAATATTTAGTAATTTGTAGAAACAGCAGTTTGCGCTATTGGCGATCTCATCATGTGAGATCAGATCGCTCATGGAACGGGAATGAAACTAAATGAGCTAGGGGAAAAAAATCATGCTCGGTTTTTTTGAGTGTCAGGACACACAGTGCGAGAAAGGAGCGAAAAAGAATTGCTGATAAGAACGGAGCTCTTATTTTCTATAAAACGAAGAAAAACCCATAAGAGGTAGGCCCGAAAGACTAGTGAACAACTATAGAGCCCAAAGAATTAAAAACCATTTTTTACTTAACCAAAATTGTCTGAGAATACTAACAGGGCACTGCAGGCAGGTAATCGCACGCACGATATGATTATCAGAGCAAAAGAAACAATCAGATCCTGCGAGATCAGGTCGTAAACACCGGCTCACTTAAGACTGGAGTGCGAAGCAATTGTCAAAAGAGAGTTTCAACAGTTAGGCACCATGCAGAGGCTGTAAGAAAACATACTGTTAAAGCCCTCATGTCTATTAGGGTTCCCGGTGTACTAAGTGGCGAGCGATGTAATATGACAAGCATTAGGGGACATATTAGATCAATGTTCCCAGTGCACATTCCTCCATCTATATATATGTATATATATCTGTCTAACGTCACAAACGTCTATACATGCCTTAACCTTAACCAAAATCGACCCTACGCGCTAACAGTTCTAGTTGCACTGAATTAGTCAAAAGCCTTTGAAATAGCTTTATATGGTTGTCGGACATTGAGGAAACTTCCTTGCGGCAGTCATCAGTAGAGTTTTGCTGTTCAAATTCAAAACGAAAAATTAAACAAGAAGTTTCGTTTAATTTTTTACATTTCAAAGCTTCTCCCCGACCAAAAAGCGTTTCATCGATTTGGTCAGTATATCGATAATATCTGACCGAAAGTAAACTACTGCCTTGTCCATATTTCTCCAAGCACGACAACTACAATTACAACTACAACCATGAAAATCCTCAGTTACCCTATTCAGCAGTTGGACGAAAGACCGGCTCGAATTGAATGCGAAAGTTGGTCACGTCGAAATTCCGATAATAAATAACAGCCAACGCTCCTTTATAAGACTGTATACGAACTTAGAGAGATGCATCAAAATCCTCAAATCGCTAGCTGGAAAAGATAAGAAAAGCATTGCTCGTAACTCACAAGACAATTGGCCGGCCGTTCGGCTGCAACGCTGCACCGATCTGGACGCCGAGAGCTAGCGGGACACAGTTGAAGAAGCTACAAGTCTGCCAAAACACCGCACTGATTACAGTTCTACTGGAAACAGAACCACCCATAGCAGACGGAGAGCTTGAACTGCCTCGCTAGACCCGTAAAATATATCTAAAATTAAGATCTGAAAACTGTAGTCGATTGCACTCCTAGTTATCCAGATTTGAGTCTGACATAACTAACGTCCAAAAGTTCTGCATGCAATGAGTCCCCGCAGGATACTAATAACCTTCTTGCGAGCTCACTAAAGTCAGCTAATCTAACACCCCTCTCCCTCTCTCTCTCTCTGGTTCGAACCCGTTCGTTTGCTTTCCGGTGGATGGCTTCGACAATTTAGACTAATTTTGTTTATCCCCTGGGCGGATTTAAGCTAGTCGCTACAACAACAACTTCCGTGGCTCCGAAAGTAAAGTTAACGGTGGGTTATTTACAAAAATTGCGATTTGTGGTAATGTCTCGAAGAATATATTTACGTATTGAGCCTCTTCATGGCTTTTTGTGAGATTTTATCAAAATATTTTTTTTAAATTTATTTGGCAAAGAAATTAATAATTTTTCAACAAAGCATTTATTATTAATTAAACATTTTTTTATTAATTTTAAAATTGTCTATTCTTAATAAATTTTAAAATTTGCATTATTAACTTTTTCTAAATGTTTTTTTTGTTTTTTTTTTATTTTTCTTTAATTAAAAAAAAATATTTTCACTTAAATTTGAACACAAATGGAATACAAAATCAATGTGAAATATAATACAATATTTAAAGAAAAAAGAAATTTATTAAATAAATAATAATACAATTTAACCAGAGTGAGGGAATAGCAATGACGATTTTGTAGGTGTATCCGCAGACTCATTATCCAAATCTGTGAGATTATTCGCTGAGCTTACCTGCAGATGAATGGAAAAATGAGTAAATATTTAAAAAATTACACATTCATACAAATCACTTACAGGCGTAACGGAAGTAATAATAATTTTTGTATGAGATCTTTGTTGCAGTAGTGCTGTATCCTCCGCAGCCGCTTCACAATCGAGATCAACATTAGCACCCGCATCACTATCGATCTCCCATGAGGGATAATGATCCATCTCGCCTTCGCAATTAAGATCCTCTTCTTCAAAGTCTTCCACCTCATCGATGAGTATAACTAGGGGAGGGGCAAGAAATCACACTAACAATTAATTGCTTACAAAAAAAAAAAATGATTTATTAAATAACAGTAATAATATTGGCTCAGTAAAAAGTTATCCATTATTTTTGAAATACAATAGTTGGTGGCTTTAGAAATCTGTACCCGCGCCCTATAAGTGCGATTGTCTGACGTTCCGGTTATTTTGATGATGATGAAAAACGCGCCACGGAAGGCCAACTACGAAAATGACACTAAAAAATGGAAATCGTCGGGGTCTGACCGACAAGCAATCACTGTTTCGATTGATCACTTGAGAAGCAGCTCGATGAATGGGTGTCACATGAGTTAACGAGAAAAAACCTTATAAACTGAATTCCGCTGAATCGTAACAAAGGCGACATATTTCTGAAGCCAGTACAGTGGCTGTTGATTGAATGTGGATTTCTGACAGCAACGTCAAACGAAACTGGTCGTGATCTAAGAGCAGTTAGCCGGCGCAAACGTTCTTCAAGCCAGAATTGACGGCCAGAAGAGGTTTTGTTCTGTGTTTGGTGCGATTAAGAGTTGCTCCCCAACCGCCAGGCGCTTAGTTAGGATCCATATCGTCAGCAATGAGATTATCTGAAGGTAACAATCGCCCAGTAGCGTGCAGCTTTGGTCGATAGGAGCGGCATTGTATTTCAGCAGAACAACACCAGACCTGACATATCAATAGTGACTCCCAAGCAGCACTGAGATCTCCTAATAGCACAGAGTGAATACCTTATGATTTGGCTGCTGAAGAATTGGGATCTAGAAAAGCCGAAAGTCGATTGTCCCAATAGGAACATTGCCCTCAAAATGACAAAAAGTTATTAAATACAAAAAAGTTGTTTAATACAAAAATAATGGTTTACTTTTTACTAGACCTTACCTTACCTTTGAACCACCTCTAATTGCTACTTACTTGAGTTTTCCTTACGTAAATTCGGTTTTAAACTACTACTTAAGGGTTCGGTTAGACCAGGTATCGTTATAGCAAAACTATCTTCTTTGTAAACTCCTCTGTCACAAGGATTGGATGCGGATCTGAGTACCACAATATAAAAAAAAGAAACAATAGTTTTCGATATTAATTCAAATACACAAACAATTTTCCATATATATGTACACCCAGCGCACCTTAGAGTTACACGTTTTTTCGGATTCTCTATTTCGGATATGGCATTATCACTATACAGCTTAAAAGGACTAACCGAGGCTAAATCATACGATGGCGCAAACGCATGCGCATCGGAAACCTGTAAATATAATATGGAAAATATTTTAATTTTCTCGCTAGAGTCACTCTCGTCTTACGCCCGTAGCGTATTACAACATTCGTGAACGTATCTTCAGTCGTGGGAAGGTAAGAAATTTACGTGATACTTTAATCGTATGCACGGAATGGATTTCTAACATACGATCCATCTATTCGCAATAGATTTTAACTCACACTTTGTAATTTTGAAATAAATTAATTTAAATAAAAAAAGCTAAATATCTCTGTTTATTTTAATAATTCAGTTGATTGAGCACTGCATGAATGTGAGTCTTCTGTTCGCGAGATTCTCCACCAGACCGTTTTTTTTAGAACTTGTTGGAGTATCCCTTTGTGTTATAAAGTATTTTCGTATTTTTTTTTTATTACTCCAAGCTTATTTACGACAGAGATTTTGTGCACAGCTGATTGTTCGAAATAAGCGTACGTTCAACTGTTCGTTCACGACTGTTATAATACCAAATTACGTGACGTAGGCTCGTGAATTCGGCAGCACACATTATTACGTGACGAGTTATACATTCACGTATGTTGTAATGCGGTTCATGTTATTTTATTATTTACTCACCTTATTATCATCCCTGACCCCGATTTTCGTCGCCGAAAAGAAATCTCTTCTAGCACTGATTGTCGCATGTGTACTATTTGTATTATTACTATTACTATTATTATTATTGTTATTATTAGTTTTACTAATGCCCGTCGCCCAATCACCCCGTTTCGAGGGATCGTCATTATTATTATTGGAATGTTTAACTACAGGCTGTGTAGACATTGGAAGTGCTAAGAGGCGTTCACGATCCTCCATGTAAGCTTTAATGAGTACATCTAATTTTTCTTCGATATCAGCGACCTAGAATTTAGTAAAAAAAAACCAACAACAACAAAAATATAAACATCCAAAAACCAGCCATCAGTAACGCCTTGTACTCACCTGTCGCTCTACTTTAACTACACGCGAAGCTAGACTAATTTTAGAAGCGTAAACATCTTTTGATTTTGATCCCTGCTTTCCCAGAATTTGATCAAGTCTGTAAGAGAATTTTTTTTAAAATAAATATCTCTCTTTTATGTTTTTTATTTGATTTAAAGTTACCGCGCGTGCACATTTTTCACTCGGCTCAGCAAGTCTACGTGACCGGCTGCGTATTGTTCCATCACATCCTTAACGTCGTATGGCTTGAGAGCTTCTTTGAATTTGCGGCGAGCCACAAAATATTTCAGCTGTAAAATAATAAAATATATACACATATACATATATTTATGTGTAAATGAATATGCAAGTTTGAGATTTAAAAAAAAAGGGTAGGGGTACTTAGAACTAGAGTTACGAGTATTTGCTTGTAGTTTTTCGAATGGATGGATGTTAGCAGTTGATGATCTAAACTGTAGCTCTTTAGTGTAAGGAGCATGAGTAACCACGACTTTCTGCGCAATCGGTCTTGGGCTCAGAGCTGTCCGGAATGTAACTGGCTTTCGGTGACCGGTCTGTTGGATTTTTAGATTATCCCTTTAGGCTCGCTCACCAAAAGCCTCGGTTGTGCGGGAGGTAGATAACCTGGGTCTCAAGAATATAATGATTTAAAACAGAGGAGCAAATCAAAGCAAAGACGTTCTGTAAAGAATGTGTTTCGCGCGCTTCGCTCAACTTATGGTCGATATAATCCACTTACTGAGCGCATTATTCGCAATACCATCACCCATCTAGAGACCCAACATTAATTATTGGATAGTATTCGACTGAATAGACCACGTCCAGCACACAGCGAAGAAAATATAGCGGCCGTAGCTGTGAGTGTACACGAAGACTGTGGTGAGACGACTCGGCGCCGTTCTAAGCAACTCGGACTGACGTATGTCATTCATTTCTTCTCATTGTTGTTTGGCGCCATGGAGTGGAAGTTTTGCCTATTCAGTCCACAGTAGCACCTTTTGGCAGGATTTCAAGATAGACGAAGTTATCTAAGACGTCAAAGTTATTGACTGTTAACAGTAACTTGGGAGCCGAGTCGGGAATGCGATGACTGTTTGTTTGATGACAGGAGATATTTCGTCTTGTCCACGTTCACTACTTGGTTAATGGTTGATTTACCAGGTCTAAAGTCACACTGAGAAGTTCCAATCAGATTGCTAACGATGGGCTTTAGTCTTTCCCACATTACGGTCGATAGGACCTTATACGAATTTTTCGGGCTTCGGAAAAGTGTTTTTCATTACAACTTCTACCTCCTATTTTCTCTTAGCATAGTGAAAATCCCACAAACATGTGACATATTCACAGCCGGTGGAAGCAGGGGAAGATCTCCACTCCGTTGGGAAGACCAGGTAGAGAAGGACCTGGCTGTACTTGGTATTTCGAATTCGCGCCAAACATCAAAAGAAGTAAGGTTAGATTTAGAGTTCTATTCAAGAGTCTTTGCGGAGGTTTCGAAAATCAAACCAATTTGTGGTAAGCGTCTTGATGTTTCGCAATAAGTTGGGAACCAACACTTTGTTCAAAACGGGCTCCGAACGGCCCATGGGTTTTTATGACAAGTTTTTTATTTCATGTTAGAAACAGACTCGAAGGACTTGACTTTCCCTGCCGAGGTGCGAACGCAATTAGAAAAATTTATTTTCAATAGTTTTAGATGCTGGTCGACCCAGAACCTGAACCGGGGCCTTCAGAATGACAGTATGCAATGCTAACCACTCGGCTAATTCGGCCGAAATTTGCCTCAATGAAAATCAAGTCATCATTGTTCATGAAATGCACACTTTCCCGGACATTTCGAGTTTACTAACCAGGGTTGATCCGATAAGAAAAATCTATGTCTATGGAGCTTAATCGCGTGTTAGTCTAGTTTAAATTCGGACGAGACATTCGCTGCTGAGGCGCGACCGAATACAGAGAGACATAAACCGAGTTGTGAAGAAAACTAATACTTACCTTTCGGATAAATCGTATGGCCGTCTTATGTTGACTCGTCAGTTGTGTACATCGCGGCTCTTCATCTTCATCTGAGTACAAGCAAAAAAAAAAGAAAGAAAACAAAAACAAAACAGTACTTAAAATTATATGTTTCGATAAAATGTAGACAAAACTTCGTACAATTTTACGACAACACAAATCAAATATAGTACAACAACAATGAATATTACAAACACAGGTATAATCAAATAAGTATATATAGAGTAGAGTAATTAGAGTAAATACGAGTATGACATGAGAGTACCTCTGTTATAATTAGGTAATGAGTAATGTAGGTAAACAGTTAGTTAGCTTAGGAAATATATATTTATGTAGGTAGGTAGGCATGTTAGTAGTTCAGGATTGTTGACAATTTACATATTCACTTAACTAATTAACTAATTGTGAAAGGCTAAACAATTCGACAGAGGAAATATTAAGGAGACAAGAATCGAGCTGAGTTGAAGATGTTGAATTATCAAAGGCAGTGATATACAACAACTGTAATATTTTAATATATCAGTATGTATCTATTGTAGATAGGCATTTATGAATAATAACAACATCAATATCGTCGCATTATGTACTAATATTTTATTACAATTAGCAGCCTTACACATACTAATATGCACACCAATAGAGTATTTGAATTAATTTTTTTTTTACTTTTATGTTTATTTATTTATATAACTAATTCAATTCTAATTTTTCGATTTTTATTTCGATTTATTTTATTTCATGCGATTTTTTCTCCTCTTACCCTTTTTATTTGAATTAATTTTAAATAAATATTATTTGATCTTATTTTTATTTAATTATATATAATTAATTATATAATTTAATTTAATACAATTCAGCTATTTTACTTTATTTTATTCATTCGTTTTTATCTCCTTTTAACTTTTTTATTTGTTTATATTAATTTCAAACAATTTAATTTGATTTAATTTAATTTAAATTAATTACATTTGATTTAATGTTTAATTTTCTTAATTTTTTACTTTACTTTGTTTAATTTTAGTTTTATTTACTTTATATTATTTTACTGCATTTAATTTAATTTAGTTGTACTTTATTTAATTTAATTTAAAATTTTGTATTATATTGAACTTAAATTATAATTTTTAAATAAAAATTAACATTAATTTATTTTATTTTAAATTAACATTCTTTTATCAGGCTTTATTTTTATTTTAATGCTTATTTTCATTGCACTTTGTTGAACTTATATTAATTTATTCTCCTATTTTTTTATTTTATATTTTTGTTCCATAAAATTTAGTCTTTTTTATTATATATCATTTTGTTTGATTTTATTTTTATTTTAATAAGTTTTATTTTAATTTATTTCATTTTGTATTTTAATTGTATATTTATTTTTTTTCTCGTTATTTTGTTTCATCCTTTTAAATTTAATTCTACTTTACTTCGTTTTACTTTACTTTATTAAAAAAAAAATTATTTAACTTTATTTTTAGATTATTTTATTTAATCCTATTTTATTTTAATTTATTAAATTTTATTTTATTTCCTTTAATCCTTATATAAAATTATTTTATATGGGTTTATTTTTATTTAAATGCTATTTCTAATTTACTTGCTATTATAATTAATTTTATTATTTCTTTAATTTTTGGTTTTTAATTCTTTTAATATACTTTATTTTATTACTTTATTATTATTTTATTTGTTATTAATATATGTTTATGTATATATTATATTATATTATATTTTATTTTATTTTAATTTCTTATATTTTTTTGTTTTACTTTATTTTAATTTATTATAATATAATTTGTTTTAATACATTTTATTTTATAATATTTTATTTATTATATTATATTTTACTTTATTTTATTTTAATTTTAATTTTTATATTTTATTTTAAGTTATTTTGTATTTTATTCTACATTATTTTTCATACTATTGTATTTAATTTTTTTTTATTTTTTTTTAATTTAAATCTATTGTATTTTATTATTATTCGTTTTATTATATTACGTTTCATTATATTTTCTTTTACTTCATTTTAATTTAATTTTATTTCTCTTTTGTTTTAGGTAAAATTTTCCATAGTCTATTTCTAGCACGATTTCTACATAGTTGACATACTAAAGAGGTTTTTACATTCGTTTCTGAGGCATGTGAGCTGTACTCGTACATACTATTCGAATTAGCGATGCGATTTCGGTCTACAAGAGGTATTGAGATAAAGTCTCTTCACGTTTACCCACTTTCTATACAACCACCGCGGCCACATCCACCACCGGCACTGACACCTGGGCTGTTGGCGCCGCCATCAATGGTTATGCCACCAAACCGACATCGTCCCTCACGCACGCTATTGCCTCGCTTATCGTGCACGCTCGCCAACAGACGCGGTTCGAGGTATTGTGTGCGATTGTAAAGTTCCCGATCATGCGTCTCATCACAACTCGATGTTTGCGGCAGTGAAAAGTTCGATCCGAAGAAATCGCCCTGCATGAAACCACAAAGAATCACCGGTACGTTGGGCATATCTGCGGGACTGTTATTGCTTTGATTATTCGTGAGTAAGTCATTTTTCATTGCGACGGTAGTGTTATTTGGCAATATGGTATTATTATTTTTATTTTTACTAATATTATTACTGTTAATCACTGCTGAACAGAGAGTTCTGAAAGCATTTTGTTTTTGTGGTGTTGGTGGCGCACGCTTTCTGTCGTATGGTTTATGTGGTTTATGTGGTGTTTGTTGTTGCTTTGTTGTTTGACTCTGCTGCTGCCGTATTTGTTGTTGTTGTTGTTGCGACTGTTGTTGTTGTTGTTGCAGTTGTTGCTGTTGTTGGTTGTCCACTGTATTCCTACAAAAACTTCCAAGAGAAAGAGAGCTGAACCTTTGTTGACAATCTTTTAGACGGGGTTTGAGATTTGCTGGCATGTGTGAGAGGAAAACATTTGGAGAACATTTACATATAGACAATAAATATTGTAAAAACAACATTTCAGAAGCGAAGTTACTAAAAGTACCGAGTGAATGAGTCGAACTGGCGAAGGGGGTCTAGCAATTTTACGAGGTCTTATTTAGATCTACACAAGGGGCAAGAGCCGAGCTGCTTCAGGTGTTCTAGAGAAAAGCTAATTATATTCAACGCTCTAAAATTTAATAGGTTTAACTTTTTTTATTGATTATTTAACTTAAAAATTTGAAAAAAGTCAAGTAAAAAGTAAACCATTATTTTTTTGGAATAGTTGGCCTTAGGGACTTGTATCCCGCGTTCTATAAGTGCGATCGGCTTGCACTAGACGGCGGTAGAAAGATTATATCTTGACCTTCAAACCTTAAAGGGAGAGGTGCTTAGCATTTAACTCAGTAGTGTTTGAGCTGATGTCAAAGATGGATTTCAGGAAAGAGAAAATATTTTATATTTTACAAACTTTCTTTGATAAAGGCGAGTCAGGCTGCTGCGGATGTGAAGTGTTCCGGTAATTTTGATGTAAAGGCTACTCTATGGTGTGGAAGGCCGTTTGTCAAAAACGTGGCTAAAGTAGTAGAAATCGTCGAGGCTGGACGTCATGGGAGCACTGTTTAGATAGATCAGCAGCAAAAAATTGCACAAACAGTAGTTTGGACCCACTCGAAAAAGGCTGAATACTTAAAAAAGTTCGAAGTATGGGTGCCAAATAAGTTAGCGAGAAAAGACCTCATGGACCGAATTAGCATGTGCGAATCACTGCTGAAATGTAACAAAGTCGACCTATATCTGAGGCGGATGCGGTGACTGGTGATGAAGAATGGATCATTTACAGCAACGTCAAATGAAAATGCGTAACAAAAGGCCAATTATCCGTTACAAACGGCCTAGAAGCCAGAATTGACACTAGGAAAGTTTAGTTTTTACATTTGGTGGGATTGTTAAAGAATCAGCCATTATGAGCTGCTTTCTTACCGCCAAGCGCCTAATTCGAACCCGTATTGTTAGCAATCACACCGTTTGAGGGAAGCAAACGCCCAAAATGGCACAGTTTTGGCAAACAAGTGAGTAATTGTGTTTCACGAGAACAAAGTCAGACCACACACATCGATAGTGACTTGTCAGCAGCAGCGAGAGTTTGGTTGGGAGGCTCGTTTGTATCTACCATCTGTTCCTGACTATGGTGAAAGATTTGGCTGGTGAAGAATTGGTCTCAAGAGAAGCCTGTGAAAATCGATAATACCAATAGTTTGAGAGGGGCATAATGACATTACTTTTCATATGGTCCATAGCTGACATCAATTGGATTGGCCTTGAATTTGTTGCTACAAATAATGGATTACTTTTTACTAGTCCTTCGAAATAGCCCGCTGAAGCATTCGCGCAGGGTTCTAACCAGAGGAACAAATAAAGGTTATAGCTTCACATAAATCGAAATTAAACAAAAACTAAAAGCTAAAGAAATAATATGTAAATAATGGGAATAAAAAATTAAAATAATTTTAATTTAATTAAAAAACATAAAGTAATTAAAATTTATTTGAAAGAAAATAAATTTTTCGTTACTTTTATTATTGAAAAATTATTGTAAAAAAAATAAATATTAAAAAAAAAGAGTAGCAAATATGAAAAGGGCAACATAAGAGTGAAAATGCAGCAGAATTTAATACAGCTTCACAGAGTTTTATCATCATTGCAACTGTGGCCACATGTTTTTTTTTATTATTTTTCATGACAAAACAGAAAAATCTCAAAATGTCTACCATAATTTTGCATTGGAAAAATACGTATTTAAATATATTTGATACCCATGCACCCTTTATTTTTTCTTTTACTAAAATTCAACTATATACGTATGTATGTAATTTCAATAAATATTCAAATACATTTTTTTTTGTTTTTGTTTTTTTTTTTTTAATTTTGGTTAGAAGTGATTGATTACAACTAGACGACAACATCCATTAGCAATGACGTGAAATTGACAACAACTGCACTTACCATCGGAATTCTTTTTCAAAACACTTGTTTCTACCACCGAATCTTCACTAAAACAGGGATCTAAAGTTTTGCCATTTTGCATTATTTCTGGAAATGTACAGAAGAAGGCAGCAGAAAGTAATAAACAAATCAACAAAAAGAAAAAAAAAACATTGTCGAACAAATTGGCACCAAATAGAAGAAAATCAGTACATACATACAACAACAACAATAAAAAAAAATAAAAAAATACGAATCAAAGAAATTAAAATGAATATGAAGAAAGTACAAAGAATATTGCGGCAACACATTTAATGTAGAAAATTAATTTTTTATTATAATTTTCTTCTAATTTCATCATCAACAACAACAAGAATATTAACTAAATTATTGCACACACTGCTAACAGAAGTTAGTGAGACACAAGTGCGCGCAATTTAACAAACACTATTAAATTATTAAATAGTTTACTACAGCTTTTTGTTGTTTGTTTACTACTAATTGTGTAGCTGAAAATAATTATAACGACGGTGTTAGATGTTGCTAACCTTCATTGCTAATGCAATCCTGCATATGTAACTGTATAGAAAATATCACGTGGCAAATGTTTTTCATATTTCTTTAGCACTTAAGAATAGTTCGAAAAAAAATCCACTACTCGTACTTGGAAAGTTTCAAATTACATAAAATGCAAGAAGTGAACATAATGAAAATGGCAAAAATGTCTGTATGTATATTATTAAAAAGTGCATTCTGAGTTGTAATGTGTGAATGTGAAAATTGTTGTGTTGCTCCTTTGTATTAAACTGAGTAGGAAGTATGTATGTATGCACATAGACTATGTGCTAATTGTATTTGCGGTCTAATGTGCTTATAAATAAGTGTTAAATATCTATTATTAGCCAAAAAAATATTAATATTCTCTGCCATACAAAATTCAGTTCGGTTGCTAGTTAAATAAAAAGAGACTTATGTACTATACTTTTTTAATGCTTTTTTCTTTATATTTTCCTATACTTTTTCCACTTCAATTGATAAATTAATTAAGTTATTATTATTCTTTATTACTTTTTTTCACTTTTAGCTTTCAAACGATGTAATTTCCAACCAAATTTCAGTTGCGCTGTAAGCTGGCAACACCATCGAAATAATATTTGTTGCTATGAATAGCAGCTAACTTCCTTTACTGTACGGGTCAATTTATCAATAACGGATTTTTGACATTTCAGCAGTTAGAAATTAAATGCAAATAAGCCGCACAACCAAAAGTATAATTAAACATAGAAAGTGGTTAGGTAAAGCAATAAAGATGTTAAGTTTCGTGAAAAAGATGTAAACATTTATGACTACATTGGTATTATGCGGCACTAGAGAGCGCAGACTAAAATGAATGTGTGTACATGATTATTGGATATAAGGAAAATTTTTGTATTTAGATTTCCGTTACCTAACTAAGGCTTACTGGACATTTTTAGAACATACTTTCGTAGAAAACGAAAATAAGTGTGTAGGAAACGGAAGTAAGTGTGAAACAAAACCATGTACTAACGGGGAGCGATGGTGGGGGCCAAAGATAAGACCAAGTTTGTCTACATCAGGGAAAGGAGCACTTCTGAAAGGCCTAACGTAAGGCATGCTCCCTACGGTACGGCCACTACCCACAATGACGGTAGTTTTAAAAGTTTAAGTGCGCAGAAAAAATACAATAATTACATTAGTGTAAAATTAACAATGGGGCGCAAAAATCCAAAAGATAAGACTATTTTTATTTACCAAAATTAAATTATTGCTAGTTTTTGAAAATACATAAATGTTAAAGTAAATTCAATTTAATATTATTCACATTTTATTTAACTGGATATCTTATTTTAACTGAATCAGTGGTGATTTACTAATTAGTATTGAAATTATGTTCATATGTTTACATATATTTTTATAGTGTTTTGTTAATAACTAATGTTAGGTATATTTGTGTTCTTCGTTTCTTGTTTAAGTTTACGTGTGTTGTGAGTGCAAAATTTGGTGCAAACTGTTTATTTCAAATATTTACGTAACCAAACAAAAAAATAAATAAATTGTAAAAATATTTTATAATAACTAAAACATACCCAAATTCTCCACAGACGTATTAATCTCACGCATGGTACGTGTATACTTGGTAATCTTCGACGGACCCTGCGGTATAATTGTATTCAACTCGCGCGGTGGCATATTTTGACTACGATGCCGTCTGATTGTTGGGAGACGTGTTACGAAGGAGGCATTGTGCTTAAAGCTAGATGAAGCTCGTCTAAATTGATAGAAAAACATACATACATACATACATAATACATACAAGGATAATATAAAGTAGATAGAATTAAAGATGGAACGAACTAAATACAAATACGTTTACATATATATATATGGTATATAGTATAAATATGTATGTTTTTATTTATTAATTTAATTTAATTTTTTTAGTGAGTGTTAGTAACATTGACACTGTTTCAAAGACTAGACTAGTGATTATAAAAAAATTTATATAGCTACAATCAGCTACGTTTTTGAGGTTATGTACTTCTGCATTCTTATGTGGGGTGTTTCGTTTGTTAAAGGAACGACATTAGCCGCACACACTTACACATGTATTTCTATGTAATTTGATTTTTTTAATATATTATATTCTCTATAAAACTAGCTACACATGAGATCTATTGCGGTATAGCGCGTGTTCATTTACATATGTATGTGTGTATTTATAAATGGGTACAAATGGGATCTTCACCAATTTATTTTGTAAAAAAATACTGTTCTATGGCACTTATGTGTGTATGTACGAGTATGTGTTGTTGCTAACCATATTGATGTACATGTGTTTGTTTTTGATTTTTTTGATGTTTGTGTCTACATATGGATGTAGTAAATATTTAATTATTTCTTTTACCTATATTCACTTAAATTCTTAAATAATCTATCCCAATATTCCGAACTGTAAAAACAAAATAGATATAAAAAACATATATACATATTTGTAATTATTTGTCGTAACCCATTGAAGAAAATAAATTATAATTATGTCGAAAAAAATCAACAAAAGTTTTGTGTCATTTAATTAGGAGAACTTTTTTTTTGTTTTGCTCGTTTAAAAACTCATTTCTGTTTCGTACAGTGTAAACGTGCCATAAATAGTAAGTGTTTTTGAGAACAGTGTGTAGCAAAATTCCTGTGTACGGCATTGAAGCAACGTGATTGTTGTTGTGGTATTATTAGAGTGCTGCTTTGGCTGTGCTAACGGTGTTCTGTGAAAATATAATTTATTTTTTCGTGTGCGGGAAAACATCTACGAGTAAATAAAATTTTTTTGAATGTAATTTTTTTTTCATATTCATATATTCTATGAAACTTTAGTCCAGATTAACAACAGATTAGAGTAGATTGGATTTTCGGCAGCAAATACTACAATTAAATTTTCATCTAACTAATAGATAGAACAATTTCTAAAGCCATTAAGCGACAGTCTGGAACATGCTCACAAGTAAAATAGAAATTCACTAGAAATGCTAAAACTATGTTTACATATGCAAGATTTGGATTAAGACACGCTTGATGTTTGCTAATTCTGTTTTGATTTGACTACAAATGTTCAATATAATATATATATATATAAATAAATATATTTTAAAACATTGACAGATTCAAACACAGCTTCTATTTGCATTAAATGTTTAAAATATACTAGCGTTCGCTCGTGACTTACGATTCCGCATGGAACTTAAAGATGGTTCTAGTAAGAAGTTTCGTTAAGAATTTTCGCCCAAAACCACGATTTTTTCAAATAACTAGATCAATGATCCAACTCCCTGATAGCAGAGTTTCCACATATTGACCTGGGAATAAGACCTAGATATCTTTCAATATTAAGCAGTTCGAACCATAAGCACGATTTGTCTGATTAGATCGTTTCACTGAACCAAATTTCGTGTTTTTCGAACGTTAGAAAAATAAATTAAACTTTCATTTCCAGGTTCACCTCCTCGAAAATTATATTTTATCAATTGCCTACGTCATACGTCGAACCTACCCTCCAAATTTGAGGCCTGTATGATCAGTGGTTTACGCTGTGGGTTGATTCACTTAAATTTTTTAGTTGAAAACATAAAAATTTTAAAAAATTAAATGTAATTTTTACTTTAACGCAGTTTTTTTAACATTTTTAAATATTATTAAATTATTGCTAGATCTTACTGATTGAACACATATTTAGAATTTGAATCTTGCATATGTAAACCTACTTTAAGCCTAAAAAGCTGTCTAATTTTTGTGTTTCCACACAATTATTCATATTTATATAATTTCTTTTTTTCAAAAAACTTTGTCAGTTTTCATTTTCAAACATTTGTCTCATATTTACTTACGAAGTGGGCGGACTTGGCAAAGGCACTTCATGTACTTTCCAGGTGGCGATCGATATTGAATGTTCGTCCGCAGCATAACAACGCCAAACGGCCTGTATGAGCGTCGCCGCTGGCTGCCGTCGGCGTATCATATGCTTTTGCCTTTGCTGTTGCTGCACTTTCAAGGCGAAACCGCTGCCAAGAATGCCCTACAAATATATGTATGTATAAAGAAGCACATGAATAACATTTGTGCGTTAATTGTAGGTTTACATACATACATACATACATGCTCGTGAATATGTACGTATGTATGAATGCTTGTGTGTAGATTCTAAAATTATTTATTTTTGTAATATACTCAAACTAAATTTTCAAGTACAAAAGCAAAATTTTTTATTTTGAGTGATAAGAGCGGCAAGTTGGCTGCTGCCTCACAATGTCAAGTGAATGGCTGTTTGTAATCTAGTATTTTTTGTTGTAAACTAGTTGTACATTTTGTTTTTTTTTTCGTTTATATTGTGGACTATTATAGTTAGCAGTAGCGATGTATTACTGTTAACCCTTATTAGATAATTTTTTTTTGAAATTTTCGGCAATTAAAAAACTTTGATTTTTGTTGGCTTCATCTCTTTTAAAACAAAAATTCGTAAAAATTTTGTTTCGAATTTACGACTTCGAGCAACTTACCGCTGGCAACGCAAAGAACGAAATGCCTAATAACGCGCAAAAAGACGCAATTAACTTGCCCTGCCACGTCTCAGGCACCATATCACCATAGCCCACCGTACACAGAGTGATCTTAAATGAGAGAAATATAATATAAAAATTGTTAATGAAAAAAGCTAATATAATTTCACTTACTACTCCCCACCATAACGCCTGTGCGAAATTACTAAATTTTTTATTAACATCTTTTTCCATTAAATAAACGAGGAATGATGCAAATATTAGTCCTAAGAAACCTATATACATAGTCGTTATGAGTTCCTGGAAATAGAAACGAGAAATTCATTTCGTGGCATTAGACAAAATTGAAATAAAACAAATTAATATAAACTAAAATAAAAAAAAAAATAATTAAAACAAAATAAAAAATAAAAAAGTAAGATAAAATAAAATACGAAACAAAATAAAAGAAAAGAAAATGAATTAAAATAAAATAAATTAAACTAAAACTAAATAAAATTAAATATAAATAAAACAAAAGAAAATGAGGTATAAAATGAAATAATATAAATAAAAATAACGTATAATGTAATAAAATAAAATACCAAACATAAAATATAATAAAAGGAAGTAAAGAAGAAAAATAAATAAAAATAAAATAAAGCAAATTAAAGTAAAAACAAATAAAGTACAATAAAATAAAACCAATTAAAAAAAAATTAGGTAAATAAAAGAAATTAAATAAAATCAAAAAGGAAATAAAATAAATGAAAACGGACAAAAATAAAATATAACAAGAAATAAAGATTTAATGAATTGAAATATAATAAAATGAAAGAAATTAAATAAAATAAAATACAGAAATATAAAAAATAAATAAAATTAAAAGGATTAAAAAGGATAAAATAAAATAAAATAAAATAAAATAAAATAAAATAAAATAAAATAAAATAAAATAAAATAAAATAAAATAAAATAAAATAAAATAAAATAAAATAAAATAAAATAAAATAAAATAAAATAAAATAAAATAAAATAAAATATAATAAAATAAAATAAAACAAAATAAAATAACATAAAATAAAAATAAAATAAAATAAATGAAATAATCTAAACAAGAAGAAATATTAAAGTGAAATCAATTAAATTACACTAAATTAAATTATAATTTTCTTGTTATTGTTTTTAGTTAATAACAAATCCATTGATTTGTACTCTAATTCACAAATTTACCTGTCTATGTGCGTAAACGACGCTGCCCAGCAACTTCCATGTGCCGCCACGCCGATCCATGCGCACCATGCGCAATATTTGAAAGAAACGCAGCCCCCGAAGTGCACTTGTTGCGAACACCTGACCAGAGGTGCCCATGCCCAACACCACCGACGAGGCGGCTATTGTTATTATATCTACAGAGCACAAATAAACAAACATAAAAGCTCACATCAAATATATATTAAATTAATTAACTCATTTTCTGTGCTCTTTTCATCATCATCATATCTTGACATAAATGAGAGAACAACAACACAATTGGTGTTTGACTTGCCTATAATACAAAAGGGTCGTTTTACGAATTTCAGCCGTCCTACACATCCTTGATAACGCGAACGACAGCCGGATGACCACAGTCTGTTTGATGGTTGATGTCGTGTGTGGAAATAAAGGAAATAAAAGAGTGGTTGAATTAAATACACGGAAATGAATTGAGTAGAGTACGCTTAGTGAAGAGAAAGAAAGTCATTACATTAATTAATGTACATATATAAACATATATTTGTTTTTGTATTCTTATTTTCGTACTACAGAACATATTTATAAGGATTAATGTGTCCCTTAAATGAATGTTGACAGCGGAAGGTGCAGTTTTATAATTCATTGTTTGTTGGATTAATGCAAATGTTGGTGTTTTTAATTTTAATTGTTGCTTTTGCCACAACAATTGCACTCTTCCGCATTTAATGTAATCGATCAGCATTTAGCATGTTAAGTCACGCCTCGCAATATCAGGCATACATACAATACATATGTACAACTCTTGTTCATCGCTAGTACTTTGATAAAAAATCCCCATAGGAAGCTTGAAGAGTTAAGTAATTTATGCTCTCTCGCGTTTGACGACAGGCTTATGCCTTGAGGTTAAACAAATGTAGACCAAAAGAAATGGGTCAAGGACAATTGACGAAGGACAGACAGGTACGATACGAGCTATGGAATGCCGTGCAGAACTCAACACAAGTTGGAAAAGTTTTCGATAGACATTCACCTGGAAGGGATTGGAAACGATTTTTGCAAAAATATATATAGTTCAAGCAATTATAATTACGGTCGACCCTTGGCATAGAATGTCCACCTCTACGAGTGTATTCCTGACATGACAAATGGAAATCCATCAGCTGTACGAAGGTGGTAGAATCAACTATTGGTCCTTCCATTTCTTGAAAAAAAAAAAAACGCATAACTACGGACGCTTTGACAAATGAGTGACCACCGTCCATAGAACGATATTTTTTAAAAGTACGAAAATCGTTAGAAACGATCAGATCTAATGGGAAAATATGAAGAGAGTCCCATCTAATGAACTGTTTACGTGTTCAATCCCCACTTGACTCACGTTCGAAGAGACCTTGAGACCAAAAAGTCAACCAAAAATATGCGGACATATATAAGTCCAGAAGTAGAATTACCTATGTAATATACGGTTCCACCCAAATTCAATCTACCTTACTACTTTGTATTTGTGTTTAATTGTTTGGGAGGTATAAATAAAATCAAATATGTTTTAGATGCATATGAGGTAAGCAGCCTTGTTATGAGTTGGCCAAGACGGGAACCTCTATTGACGTATTTGAGGCGGAGTTAAGTCCTTGCCATTTAGGAATGATCAAGAGAAGGTTTACTGACTACTTTCCATAACCGACCGTGACATAACAAAGCTTGATCTGCCCAAGTATGACAGAAACAGTATACATAAAGGGTGTTTTTTTTTTTAGATATGTGGTTTTTAAGATTAAATAAAATGCATACAATGGGTTAGCCATTATGTTTTAAAAATGATTTCGGTCAAGTGACCGCCGCGGCTGGCTGGAACATATTCTAGCCGAGAGGCCCAATTTTTTGCAATAACTTGGGCCGTATGTCAGCAATAAAGAATTTTCTCTTGCAAAGCGTCAATCGTCTCGCCCTCATCTTCGTAAATAACCCAACAAAATAGACTAGCGGTGTTAAATCGCACGATCTTTGAGACCACGCCACAGGTCGGCGATGCGAGCTAATGAGCTCGTAAAAAGTTGCCATCAAATATATTGATCGTTTAGTTAGAATCAAAGGACGTCCATGTCAACATCTTTCAATTCAGGCATAAAAACTCATCGCCATATTTAACTGTGACATTAGGATCGGTGAAATTTTTGAAGAAATATATACCAGTGATTCCTTTTGTCCACAGAGCATAACACCACATAATGACTTTTTGATCATTATCATCACTCCAAATGCGATAATTTTGTTTATTAATGTACCCATTCAACCAAAAGTGAGCTTCCTTGCTGAACAGAATTTTCTGGTGAAAATCTAGAAACGCTAGCCATTCGTTTCTGGGCACATTCCCCAAACAAGCGACGCGTTTGATGGTTATTCGACTTCAATTCTTGCACGAGTTGGAAAGACCGTAAACAAAGACCTTTGGCGCCTTCGAACGATTGATGGTTTTTATCCGAGGAGCCTTTTTTCCATGTCCGAAATACACTCGGAGAGGTGCATGTTCCCTGCCGAGGGTCGAACGCAATTAGAAAATTTAACTAAATTTTTTATTTAAATTAATTTTCCATAATTTTTGGATGTTTCAACTCGAGCCTACCGAATGTCAGTACGCATTGCTAACCCCTCGGTCATGATAATAAATTTGCACGATTTGCTGACGTTGATTTGGACTTAGTCCGTTTATTATGAAATGACAAACCAAACTGAATATAAATCCAGTAACAGATTAACTACGAAATAAGTATTTCCTCATTGAAAACCACGCTTCTAACCCTCTCGTGAGCTTGCTTTGGATTTCAAAATTCGATGCGAGAAAATTTCAAAATTACCTTGTTTACATTGGTATCCAAAACCAAAATGAAATTAATTAACAATTTCCAAAATTTTAAATTTAATAATTTCTAACTTACATAAGAAGCCTGTTTAAGGATAAATTATGACTCACCTGAAGCAAAATTCCAATGAAAACCATATTACAACTATGATTTCCATACGAAATAGTATATAAATTGCATCTTTCTCGTACTCTTCGATCGTTGAGAAGACGCTTAAAGCTAAGCAAGTGAATACCATAAAAAACCTATGAAATCATGGAGAGGAAAATAAGAAAATTACGATTTTATTCAAAAAAAAATGCTAGAAAAAAATTTGAAAGCATTTAGTACATATGTACATATGTTTATATATATGTATTAGGTAGTAAAAAGTTCGTTCGGTTTTTTTTTATTGATTTTTCAAAATATGATGTCTGATTTAAGTCAAATATACGCTGTTTTTTTGTAAACTTGTTGCCAACGAGATACCAACTTCATTATACCCCTCTCATAGAAGGCTGCGTCTCTATTGGCAAAAAAACTCGGAGAGCCAATTTTCACAGGCCTCCCTTGAGGCCAACATCTCACCATTAAGCGCGTACGCCATGGACAGGACTACACGGTGGGTGCATTAGGATCTTCCCATTAGAGGTCCTGAAGCTTCTGGCGTGTCACTAAAGACGTGTGTGATCTGGCGTTGTCCTGATGGAACACAACTCGGCCTCTTTTGATCAAAGATGGCCTCTTCTGGATGAGTGTTGCTTTCAAGCGGTCCAGTTGTTAGTTAGTCAGTTGTTAGCAGTAGAGGGCCATAGGGAGACTGCTAGTAGTTGAAGATTCTTTGCCAATACCACCAAACACACAGCAACACAGCAAAATTTTTCAGCCGCTTTGGCTGATTTTTCGCCTTGATCGAAGAAAAATTGTGAAATAAGGCGAATTTTCTATTTGCTGGTGTCCATCTTTGACGAGCACTCACAACGTACTGAGTCAATCAAACGAAAAACTGTCAAAGACAAACTTTTAGCGCGAATAAACGCGTTTTCAGCGCCGTAGAGTTTGACAAGCGGCGACACGAAACGCTAGTACCAAGGACAATAACACCATCTCTTAGATAAAAAACGAACGAACTTTTTACTTGACCTAATATATAAGTAAATAGTTAACATTCACGCGTATATAAGCGTTAGAGAAATCAATAAAAAAAATTTCATTGAATTGACATTAAAGCTTCATTAACAAAATAATATAAAAGTAATTTATTCAAATCATGTACTCCTAGCTTGGCTTGCAGTTTTGAACGCACAGACGGTATACAAAATAAAAAATAAATAAAAAAAGAATAAAAATTGTAATAAAAACAAATCGCAAAATAAAAAAATGATGGCCAAAATAGTAACAAAGAAATAGATTTCAATTACATACATACATACATACATACATACAGGCGTAAAATGATGACACTACTTACACCATGATGTGATACAAAACTGCAGGCAGTCCACGTGGTCGCTCCAAAAAATTATACACACGACTCTGTAAGCGCCGATAACGTGCGTCACGGCGTGTGCCGCGATTGTAGGTCAGCGGCTTTCCTATGAGTGACATTCGCGGTCGAAGATGTCCGTTCGCTGGATGGCTACCAAAGTTGGACTTACATGATCTGCAAATATATTCAAATATATACATACATATATCGTTTGTGTTATTAATAACGGTTTAACGTTTTTTTTTTTTTTTTTAATACAAAAGTAAAAAATTGTAAATTTTTCTCATTCAACATTCATACAAATGCATGGAGTATCCTTTAAATAGTTTGCACTGATTCCAATGAAAACGTTTCTCATAAAAAATTATGCACTCGTTGTCAGGATCCATTTCATTTCACTGCACGCACTGCACTGCTCTTCCTCTAGGCTTATACGTACGTTGGCCCAGCACCTAAAACTCACTATCCAAACCAACCGCACTGCGTTGAATGCAACTCGACTGCCTGTGCGCGACTCGAAAGCCTTGCTTCAAACTCAAGCCAAGTTATGCTTAGCTTAGCTCAGCAGGCAGCTTGTACTCGCCGTAAATACCACACATTATTTAACAATTATTTACCTTAAAAACAAGTGTTAAATGTCGAGTAAACTCAAATTGGTCGTAAAGCAAATATACCCGGTTTCAAAAACACCCAAACAAACACAAAAACACACACAAACACACGGGAACACAACAGCGCACAATTGTTGAATTTTATTTAAATTTCGTTGGTTTTCTTTGTAGACACTTTCAAAGTAAGCCACTGTAGTATTTTGCCAAAATTTTTGCTGCAGCTCATTAGTCACGCACCTCCACGGCGCACTGTTGTATGCAAAGTGGGCACAGATGACGACTAACCGCTTGGGAGTGGTAATGTTTTTGTTTCTCTTTCGGATTTTGATATCTAATGGAACGTGCAAAATTAAGTTTACAACTCAATTAACACCTTCGAGCTACACACAAAAAAAAAAAACAAAAAAAAGAAAAAAACAAAAAAAAAAGAATGACGAGGTCGGTTGTGGGGCTGGCGCTCTGGCGTGCATTCTAGCTTTTACACATTTACAAAAGTACCGAAATTCTTGAACTAAGCCAGCTGAAGCAGGCGTGTTTAGAAGAGGAAGAGAGAGAAGAAGCAGAGGAAGATAAGATTTGGTTTGTTTTAAGATAAGCAAGAAACGCGAAAGTTAGAAATAGTGATTATTACGCATAGCTTCATTTGGCAATGACATTATCTTTGCCAGTTAGTATTTGTTTAGGGCAAATACACTGCAAGTGTTAGGGTTGCCATGTGGGAAGTCGCTAAGCTATGCTCTTTAAAAGAGGAGATGATTTCTTGTAATGTCGGAGTAGTTTGGGGTTATTTTCTTTTAGAGAAGTTGAAAGAATACTGGGGGTCCTACTAGGGGGGAAATGGGATGGAAGTAATAAAACACAATTTGTGTTTCCTTTTTAAATACAATCACCTGCAAGATGTATGGATTTTTCAGCTTTTTCAATTATTTTAATTATAAGTACGAGGTGTGACAATTAAGTAATGAGACTGATTCCATAAAACCGTATATTTCAAAATTATTGTTATTATTATTGTATTTCTACAACTCTGCCATCCCCTCAAATTAGACCCCTTGGGCAGCTATACAATGATTCCATGCTTCGTAACATTTTTGGAACGCTTCGACTGGGATGCCCGCGAGTAGCCTCAGTTTGACATATCGGGCGAAAAAGGCGGTTGTTGCAACATGGCGATCCCTTTAGAGGCTAAATACTGGGACACGCTGAGGTCGGTGTGGCTCGGCGCGTTGTCGTGATGTATGATCCGGTTACGAGCGATGGCTGGGAGCCTCATGTTGACTCGTTTTCGCAAACTTTCAAGTACTTGGAGGTTGTGGACTTTATTTACGGTTTGCTCCGGTGGAAGAAATTATTTGTGGACGATTCCACGGCTATCGAAAAAAGCAATAATCATCGTGCGGAGACAACCGTTGTGAGCTTTGGCTTTTGATTTCGTTTTTTCATTTTCTTGACGAGCGACACGGACACACGTCTACACAACATGACACAGCAGCCGAACTAAACAAGCTAGAGCGATGGCATCGGTAATAAATTTTTATCCCCCAGTTCTTTTGTCATATATTAAATGAAAATATTCACACCGGGCCAGGTCTGAGACGTAGGGTGAACAATGCTAAATATGGAAGCTCATCTTATGCAGGACAGCTGACTGTGTTCACTTAAACTCCTTGGAAGCTGCTGTGCCTTTTTATGGCACTGCTTGAAGTCTTGTTGCGACACAAGTTCCTAATCATGAACCCCGGCTTAGTCTCCAGTAACAATTCGATTCCCTAGATTTGAGTTGAAAACTCTGTAAAGTTCTTGCCAGGCACTGTCCTACGGGATTTAATAGCTGAGAGATAAATCCGTGTTCAGACTTTATTGTAAATATTTTCGGCATACTCTCGTATTTATAGCTTTTTTCTCTGAGTCTTCAGACATATGGTGTAGCACGAATCACTAATGGAAAGCGCAGGTTGGTGAAGCCTTTACGCAGGTTATATCCAACTATATGTACATACCATAGCGAACAGTTCGCTCGGTTTAATGAACTCTCCAATTTTCCTCTCAAATCCGAGTAGTCGCAATGATAGTGCGCCGGCATTTCAACTACTTCAGCGCATGCTTCGGACTTAGCCTATGTCGTATGCCGAATGGAAAGTATTTCTGACATGAATTCCAAAAAATTCTAATAAAACTCCATCAGTATATCGGAGATAGACTGCAGGCCTCTCTATTTGTTGGGAAAACATAAAGACGCACACCAAAAATTCTAATTTTAATGCACTGTTGAACAGCTGAAACCTAGCCCTCAGTGGCTGTTGATTCTGTTGTTGTACAGACTCAGTCAGATGAGCAAATGAAGAGGGCTTCAGCGGCCATATATATAGTACATGTAAAAGGTTGTTGGACTGTTCTTGTTCCCCGCTTATCTCTAACTGGTGCCTCGTTGCCCTTGTTAAGCTATGCACTAGAACACATATCTGTATAGTCTCGAAAGGGTCTTCAGACATTTAATAATCACCATCACCGGAGCAATTAAAAAAAAAAAAACACCATCTACAGTAATTTTAAGTATTCTACCAGCAAATCTAGTAGCTAACAACAGGACATTTCCATGGCCATACGCTTCTAGGCAATTGAAAATCAGAAGTGTACGAATAAATTAAGTAATCCCGCACCTGACTTGACGAGAGACAATAGAGACGAATGGTTGAAGAAAAGGTCTGAAATATGCAGATAAAGCTCTTCATATTTTTACAGATTGTTTTAAAATGAACGAAGGAGTGGAGGCTTCAGTTTACTGCACTCAACCAAAACGATAAGAAAGTCATTAAAGTGACCAAACTATTGCTTGGGAGACGAAGCCGAAATATTTGCTTTAAAAATGGCTACTGCAGTGTGCAGGCTTTCAAAAGAAGAGAATACAAATTTATGTGAATAGTCACCGAAATCAAACCATCAAGCCTTTTTTCCGTACATCGCAAAATCCGCTGTGGCCGCAGTTGCATTCAAGGAAGTGAAGCAAACACAAGAAGTTATCCGACTTCGTTAGGCGAATAGATTTTGCGAACGAACTAAAGAATCACGAAAACTACGTGCAAAACTTGTAATGCTAAGCTCAAAAAGTTTCTATTTGCGGTAAAGAGGCCGGATTAAAGACTGCTGGTAGGACTGTTAACGGGGCAGTACCTTTTGGCGTCGCATGCTTTTAATTTGCAAAGGTTTGATGGGGGAGAATATGGGCGAGAAATGTTAGGAATGTGTGAAGCTTGTGGAGCACGTCATCTTTTAGTGTCTAAAAGCTAAGCTTACTCGACGTAGCAAGGCAACAGGGCCTTCAATTTTCAATGGTCAGGGGACCAAATTGACTACTGCAATTTGCGAAGAGATTAACGTTGCCATTCATATTGGAGAAACCATATAGAGTAAGTAAGCTTGGCCCCATGCCGTGTGCCTGGCAATATTATAGGCGAACTATCGTCTATGTAAGACCTGCTGAGTTAGCCAGTTCGACCTAACCCTTCCTTTGCAGGTGTGTTAATATTCAAATCAATAATCCACTTGTGAGGGGCCAGTTAAAACAATGTTAACCCCATCAATATTGCTTACTATGGGGTTTGAAATTTCCCGAAGGAGTGTTGTTTGAAAAATCGCCTAAAAATGAACCAAAATATTTATTATGTCGCATAAGAGCAGCAAAACAAATAATACAAAATAAATACTATTTATATTTACTTTATTTATTTATAACTCTTTATTGGCGAGAATTAGCGTAGGAGAGTTCAAAAAAAATGTATGCACATACGAGGTATGTTCAGAAAGTATCGCGAATTTTGAATTTTCGCGGGTTACGTATAATTGAATTTCGATTTTTTTGTGGTGTTATGTTGGTACTCATGTCTGGCACTTATGCCGACAAGCTCGGCCATTTTGAATGTTTACTTAATTGTTGCCAGCTGATGGTCTTCGAGTTTCAATTTTTAATGAAAGTTTTGCTGACAGTTTTTTCCAATTGCAGGGGCGTGGTGCATCATGAGTTCTTGCGACAGGGTGGAACGGTCAATAATGAATGTTACCTGCAAGTTATGCGCAATTTGCGCGAAGCAAACCGCCAGAAACGCCCGGATTTGTGGAAGAAAAAAATTGGCTTTTGCACCGCGATAACGCCCCTGCTCACACATCGTTGCTTGTGCGCGACTTTTCGGCCAAAAACAACACACTAATAATGCCGCAGCCGCCCGTATTCCCCAGATCTGGCCCCCGGTGACTTTTTCTTGTTGCCTACACTGAAGATGCCCATGAAAGGACGACGTTACGCTACGATTGACGAGATAAAGACGGCATCGAAGGAGGAGCTGAACAAGATAAAAAAATTGATCTTTTGAACTGCTTCGAAGATTGGAAAAACCTCATGGGGATTACTTTGAAGGGGGTAAAATAGATATTCTTGTATAAAGAAATAATTTTTGAAACAACACAAAATTCGCTATATTTTTTTAACATACCTCGTATATAGATATATAGAGATTATTATATTTTATTTTTATTTTTTTTTTTATTTATTTATTTACTTGTTTTTTTTTTCTTTTGTAATCAAAATGTAGCGCTTTACGGTAACCCCATTACTGTTTATTGTTTTCATTCACCTCTGTGCATTGGGCAATAAATACTTAAGTCAAAACAGATAATTTTGCTAATTATTTGTTTATGATTTTCATCGGGTATTTCTTGTTAATTTGCCTGGTTTTCGTTACTTCGTTACTGTGGAAATTGTTGATTTTCACATTTACGGTATTTCTCTCCAATTGGTGTTAATCGCTTAAGACTTGCAATAACTGTAGTGTAACGAATATCAGATTTATTATTAGCAAATAAGAATAATAAAACAAGGAAAAATTGATTTTTCGTTGGGGATCTATACTGAATATTATTGTTTTTTTTTTTTCATAAATTTATTGTAGATATTTCATAATCAAGGCAGCCTAGAGTATGCTTGTACTTGTAGTCTACTTCAACTTGGTATGCGTAGAATGAAATGCTATAAAAGTTGCGGCCTTAATGTGAACATGCCTGCTCCATATCACAAAAAATTTTACATATACGTCATACATACAAAGGCAATATAAGAAGAAACACACACACATATATTTGTTACATTCGGTATGCCTGTCGGAAAGATCTTACCAAACACCAAAAATATTCCACTAATGCTCTAATCTTCTTCCTTATTGGTGATGATTCGCTTACGCGATTATAACCGAACCAACAAAAGCGTGTTATTCGTTCTTTCTCTACGATGTTTGGTGCCAATTGGCAATACCAAGTGAAGCCAGCTCGTTCTCCATCTGATCTTTGCAACGGATTGACGGTCTTCCTCTTCCTCTGCATTGAATACTTTCGAAGATGTAGTGCTTTCATCCATTCGGGCGACTGACCTAGCTGGCGTAGCCGCTGTCTCGAGATTGGCTGGTCCAAGTCGATGATGTCATATATCTCATTCCATCGGTTGCGTTATTCGTCGTTGACAAGGTGTAGAGGTTCATAAAACTTTCGCAAAACACCCAAAGTCAACTCATTAGATATTGTCATCGCCCATGCCTCCGCACCATTTAGCCGGACGGGAATGAGGAGTGACTTGTAGAGTTTGTTCTGTTGGCAAGAGCTTATATTAAGCAGCCTCTGAACGGCTGATGGTTTCTTATGTGGATGTTTTATTCCGTGTCGGAGATCCAAGCGACCGTACGTCGACCGGAATTTCTTTCCATTATTATATTATATTTCCATTTGCAAGAGCGTCTTTGCTTGTGACTCAAGGTTTGCGTGAAGCAAATTTCAGGAAAATATCTCAATTTGATCGGACGGACATACAGACATGGCTAAATTGATTCGTCTCGTCATTCCAAATGTGTTCTTGTATATCTGAACATTTTTGTGGTTGTAGCTTTTACTGTATTTTTTTAGACTTAGTCAGACTAGTCTAAGTTATCGAGATTCATTAATGTAGCGCCCAGAAAACGGGTTGTTTCGACGGGCTCGGACAAGTCGGAAAGTAGATAAGTAGGCTTTAGGGGGCATGCAAAGAAGGGGTTAGAGTATTGCATGGGGTCACATTATATACAGGTTATACGTTGGGTATCTTGGGGTCAAGTCTGGATATGTAGGAATTTAGTCAACTACAATATTCGGATTTTAATTGTACCAGTGACGGCCTCGGTATCCGAGTTGTTAGCATTATGTACTGGCATTCGGAAGGCTCGGTTTCAAATTCCCGTGCGACCAACATCCAAAGGTTTTAGAAAATTAATTTAAATAAAAAATTAAGCTAAATTTTCTAATTGCGGTTGGCAAGGAAAGTCAACCCCTCCGAGTATATTTCTGACATGAAATAAAGCTCCTCACATAAAAACCATCAGCCGTTCGGAGGCGGCTTAGTATAAACTGTAGGTCCCTCCAATTGTTGGAAAAACATCAAAACGCAAAACCAGAACCCACCAGATACGGCTTATACAGCTGTAAAAGTAAGGCCCCGGTCATATCGGGAATTTTCCTGACATTCTTGCAGCTTCTTCATCGGCTTCTTACTAGACTCCGATTTTGAGCATCATAACGACCGTTCAGCCAATTGCCATGAACTACGCGAAAAACGCTGTCTTTTCCCGTGCTGGTGCTGCCGGTTAACGATTTGAGGAATTCTCCCATCTCTAGCACCATCGATTTTTACATCGAGTTCAAGTCGGTGACCGTTGTGTCTTAAGGTCTTATGGTGACTTCACCCATTGCACACGCAGCGGCGGCGTTACTGTTTCTTTTCGAGATTTATTGGGGCCGAAATTCCTCGTGAATTGCGGCAACGGGGATCGGGGAAGGTGCGGTTCTCTTGAAAGCTGCAAATTTAAATATCCTACTTTCTACGCCAAATGGCTCAACAATTAAAAAACAAGTAAATTTGTATACTTGTACGGATGTACTAAGTACTCACCGGAGCTGTTGCTGCGTTCAAAGCTGAGATCAAAAGCAGAACGTTAGACCGATAACTACGGCCTTTTGAAGATTCCACAGAAGGTAGAAGTCTAAAGCGGACATAACTGCATCTTTACCATAAATAAGTGGAGTTGTTGTTGTTGTTGTAACCGCAAAATTATTCCCCAAAGTACTTTTTGGGGAATGTTGCGGGAGTGACAGTCCTTGGCCGGATAAAAATCCGGGTCGTTCCGGTATAAAGACCCGACTGTCGCGGGAATTATTGGATTTTAGTCGACTCTTACAACAGGCATGCCTTACCGCGGGTAAATTCTAGAGCCCCTAACCCGAAGGGGTTAAGTCGAGTCATATATACTGGTTATACTTGTTCTGAACGCAGCGACATCTCTTGGTGGAAATGATGGCTGCACAGGGTTACACGCATAAAAACAGTTACTCTGTTGATGAACTTAAACTAGAATTACCTAATGACCTAAACGATGTTAGGGTGACAACCCTTGTCCGATGCATCGAACCGGCTGTCATGAGAGTTGAACTATCTTACGCCATTCAATTCCACCCCCAAATGAGTATAAAAAGGAAAGAGTCAATATATGCTTCTAAACTTTTTCTCCATTTTCTTACAGTTTTGAGCAACAAAATAGTTTTGATTATTTTTTTTTTTACAACCAAAGTTATCGCAATGAATTTAGAACAATACAACAAATACATTTTGCATACCTCTCAATTTTTCCTACAGGGTGCGAAAAAAAGCCGAAAAGAAGTTCAACACTGATTGACACCACTACACATGTTTTATGTTTATACCCACTTGCGTACTTACAATACAAAGCAGATAATCTTTGTTAGAACTTTGTTCGGCGTACAAGTGTCGCTTCCTGCAACGCACAATTAAACTGCCACCAACAAATCATTGCTGACCAATAAAGTATCAAACAAGTTGGAGTGCACCCACACTTTAAGTGCATAAATAGTAATACAATATGTAAATACATACATACACGTATGCACAAAGAAGATGCCGCCTATATTATTGTACAGCAAGAGCAATACAAGTATGGTCATACTGATCGTGAGTTGCTTCGGCTCCTTCGCTGCCGCCGACAGCAGAAATATCGATGCGAAAGCGCAAAAGCGTGTGTGATCGCATGAGTAGCCAAAATGTTGCGCAAAAGCAGTTTGTGAAATTAATCATTTATGCGAAGCAGTAATAAAAATAATAATAACAAACGAACGAACAAAGAAATAAGAAAATTAATTTTTTAGCAATTTGGTTTTGTTTCTATTTTTTATTATAATTATTTTATTGTTATATTATTATTGTTATTATTATCTATTATTTATTTTATATGTACGCATTTATGTTTACATACGTACATACATACCTACATACGTACGTACGTACATATCTATTCGTATAGCACGCTTGTGTACCACAGTAATTTATTTCGTCAATAGCGCTTGCTGTTTGTTTGCTTTTGTTTTTGTTTTCGATTTTATCATTGACTTCTTTATTTTTACAAGGTACTTTTTACAACTACATAATCATTATTTTAACTTTACAAAATATTTACATTGTTCTATATTTATTATATATGTATGTATGCATGTATATATAATATTATGCATTTATGTATATAAGTATAGTAATTAAAAGCATTGCATCATTTTTGTTGCTGCAAAAAAAAGAAGTCGTTATGTGCATTTATGCATTTAGAATAGCGCCGCCCCACCCCTACGCAATCACCGCTCCCAACTTATTTCTTCTCATCGATTATGATTTCATCACCCGCTTGTATATTATAACTGTATAGCCGCTTATTGGGATATTTCATCAACTCCGGTCCGAACTCTTTGAAATCTTGATCTACGTAATATAAACGCATTTTATTTGCTGGCAAATCAATGAGCTTTTCCAAACGCGTCTTCAAATCGCCCACCGTACAATAGACATCGAGTAAGCGTGTCTCTGTCTTTTCCTTATATGTAATGAATACTTTTAGGCGTTTCTCAGGCTTAAGATTTATGTTAACTAACGGATCTAGTTTGCCATGTTTAGTGACCAATTCATCGTAACGCTTCGGACGCTCCCACTCCGGTTTGTCCATGTAGTGACGTATGAAAGCACGTTCAGCATCTTCACGTTCATCGGCGCTGATCACGCCACCACCGTTGAGTAAGCTGACATTCGGCAAACGCGCAATTAACAGCTGACGACGTTCGTGTTCTGTGCATTCCAGACGCTCCCACAGTGGCCAATTTTTTACACGTAAATTTCGTAATTTCGGAAATTTCGCAATCTGATCGATGTCATCCCAAGTGCTTATGTTCGAGTAGCTGAGATTGAGAAATAGGAGATTATGAAAATGTTTGTGCGGACATTCCGTTTTATGGGACATTTCGACATCCTCAACGCAGGCAGTCGGGCAGTCATTGTTGTTGACATTAGTAGCGGCATCGGTTTGTATAGCTTTGATGGGACAATCGGCGAGCACCAAATTTTCGAGGCTAGGAAAAACACGCCCCAAACGACAAATCTCTAGCCAACTTTCGACTGGATTGCCGGTGAAATGTAATGTTTTCAGTTTTCGATGTGGTTGTATGTGTTTACATTTTGATTCCGTGTAGCAGCTGCCTGTTGGTGAAGTTGGTGTTGGCGGTGGTGTTGTTGGTGTTGTTTCAATTTCTGTTTCCGCTATTGCTTCTACGTCTGCTGCTGCTGCCGCTCTTTCGGTGTCTGTTTCTGTTTCCGTTGTTGTTGCTGTTGTCGCTGTCGTTGTATTGTTGCTATTTAATATATGTGAATCACTTTGTTTGCTGTCGTTACGCTCAACGCGCACGCTTACCTCGTCATTATTGTCGTCCACATTAGCGCACAACTCGTTTATCATCTCTTCACCTTCGTTGACATCGTCCTCGCCTTGCGTGCTACCGCTGCCACCACCACCAGCACCACCGCTGGCAGCAAATTCAATTGAATCAATAAGCACTTCTTTGTAGTCATTCAAACTGAGATGTAATTCCTCTAACAATGGCAAATTATCCAACAACACTTCAACACACGGCCAATCCAGGTAAGTGCCATTCAGCACCATGCTCCTCAAACTGTTCGTGGGCAGCGTGGTCGGATTGCATATTGGTCCAACCAAATGATTTTTACTCAAATTCACAAACTCCACACGCGGCATATGCTCGAGTATGTGGAAGACCTCCTGCCAATCGTTCAATTTATTTTGTGCGAGATCTAGTTCACGTACGCGGCGACATTTCTCTTTTATGGCTTCAAAATCACCCGCACAGTCAATGTCACAGTCGTTCAATACCAACAGTTCGGGCACGCTGAGCAACGGTGGCAGACGCGGTATATAAATGGATATGATTTTTTCTGTTTCAGCAGCTGCATCGTCGTCGTTTAGATTCTCCAATTGACAATCGGTGAAATATTTTCTTTCCAATGCTTCCAATAGTGATGGCATATTGATGGCGTTTTCTCGCAACGGTATATGTATAACAAAGTCTACTGCTATTGCAACTATAGTTATGGTTGCTACAAGCTAAGCTCCTCAGCTACCTCTGCAAAGGTGGCAACAACGGCGACTAACAGTACAAGCACTGCTCTGCTTCTTCCAGCAGCTGTAGTTCTGGCTGCTGTTGCTGCTGGTGCTGTTCTGGCTCCTGCAACACCAACGTAGGGTTCCTCGTCTGCATGCACTCGCTCCGATAGCGACACCGAAACCGATACCGACACCGACCACTATGTGCGTTGAATCGTGGACACTTGAAATTTGGTACATATGCATGAGCGAAATGCATTCGTGGACACTCGCTGTAAGGCGAAAAGGCAATCGCTGGGCTGTTGTTTTATAACTTTTTCCGTTTCGATTTTATAATTTCTAATTTTTATTGCTCGGAAGTGCAGTCAAATTTTACTTTAACGTTTTTTTGTTCCTTTAATTTATAATTGTTATATTCTTCTTCTTCTTCTATGTCTTCTTCTTTTACTACTTCACTTTCTTTGTATTTGTTTGGATTTGAAGGCAACGTTCTATTTATTTACACTATTCACATTTCTTTTAATGAACTTTTACTCTTTCATCTCTCCAGAAAATCAAAATGCAATGTATTTTTGTATGACGTAATTTTCATCGTCAACACGTTGAAATAAAATTATGTAAAGAAAACAATTTAATATAATTTCTATTGCGCACTAATTTAATTTTGTAAAGTTTTGAACAAAGAAAACAAATGCAGACTAAATTGCTGCGCTCTGCTCGCTGCCTGGTTCGCTGGTTTACTGGCTCGCTGACTGTTTGGTGCCTACTGCTGCCAAACGTTCAAACTGCCACTGCTGTGTTTTCTGTTTCCGTAGCTTTTCGCTTTTTCGCTTCATTTTTTTGCTTGTTTATTGTTATTGTTTTGTTGTTATAATGATACTACAGTATTTTAGATGTACATATATGTATGCACATTTGTATATAGTTCACCTCTTACCACCCCTTGACACTCGTGAAAACTGTGTATGGCTTGTTACTCGCTGAGCGCAACACTTTTTCGTGTACTCGTCTGCTCAGCTACGAATGTAAGCACCAGCGACGGGAGAACGTATACACGTAAATTGTCTATACGAGTATTCTGGCTTTTTGTGTAGGTCGTTCGTTCATCGTTCGTTGGTTGCTTGACTGGCTGTTTGGTTGGCTTTTGAGTGTACAGGGGCGCCACAACCACTTTAAAGGTTGTGGAAATTTAGAAAATCAGCTGCGCAGTGCCAATGCCAAACAAAGCAAGAATTCAAGCGAACAAAGGAAACTGTGTACATACGTGTACATAGGTTTGGGCAGGTAGGAAAGTGAGCGCATCGTATTGCAGCCAATGCGTGTGTTTTTACGAGTGCAAGCGAAAATATGATGAAAAATGATGCGCGTTACAATGACCTTTATTTGCAGACAGCATCTCTGTTGATATAAATATTTACAAAAGTTTGTTTGTAGAAGGAAACTTTAAAAAAAAAACTCAAACTTTAATCGGAAAAGGGTTGTCTACCCAGATTGGCGACAATTCAGTCAAATTTCGTATAAGTTCACAAAGAGATTAATACTAATTTAGTAGTGAAAAAATCGTTAATTCAAAGTTTGTTTTTACTGGTTAGAAAGATGAATAGAATCATTACCAACTACAGGTTTTTTTTCTTATTATTCACCACTACCTTAGAGTGCGCAACTGTGGATATAATATTGTAACAGAAGAATTTTCTAGGAATTCTTTATCGTTTGCATGAAAAAAATTAAAATCTTTAAGCTATTTTTCAAGTGAGATTAAAGAAAGCAAACAATTATTTTTTACTATGAACAAAGAGCTCTTCAATGCCCTCCCAGCACAAATATGATTATTTAAAAATAAAATCCTTTCGATAATTTTTATTTGAGTCTTCTGGAATATTAAAAAACAACTCACATTTTGGCCGATTATTACTATGTGAAGCTATTTCTTCCCGAAATAAAAATTATACATACATTTATGATCTGCAAATGAACGAAATTACCATTTCTTTAAACAGAATGACGACTCGCAAAAGACAAAAATGTATTCAGATGATGATAGATGATAGCTGGGATTTTTAAATATTTTAATATAAAAAAAAAACTCATGCGTGAAGTTTTAACTTTACGATTTTTTCCGAATATTTATCAGTAATACCTATGGTCGAGCTGATGCAACTGAAATTCGTTAACTAAGATATTTAAATGTTGCCACTTGAGCCTGAATAATAATAGAAATGACTGTAGAAGAAAGTTTGAGTCCTCTCATTTGTCGAAAAAACCATCAAAACTCAAAATTCAACTGAGTTTTTTCTCCGAGTCAACAACATCTGATCTCTGCCTCCAATTCTAGCGCGCCTCCAAACGGTTGAAGAACTTTTTTGTGTCGCTTTTTATGCTTGTATCCGCTGAAGCGATTTTCCGCCGGGCTTCTGCTTTAATTTGTGGTTTTGCGTCGAGATGTTTTTCCAACAAATGGGGGGGACCTACAGTTTATACTAAGCCGTCTTCGCACGGCTGATGTTTTTTTAGGAGGTGCTTTTGTTTTTCATGTCAGAAATACACTCGGAGAGGTTAACATTCCCTGCCGAGGGGGAAAATTTAGCTTAATTTTTATTTAAATTAATTTTCTATTACTTTTGGATGTTGGTCGCACCAGGATTTAAACCGAATGACAGTACGAAATGCCAACCACTCGACTAGATTGTGGGTAACCCTTAGGGGCTCAAGAATTTACCCGCCGTAAGGCATGCCTGTCGTAAGAGGCGATTAAAATCCAATAGTTCCCGCGACAGTCGGGTCTTTAGACCGGAACGACCCGGATTTTTATCCGGCCAAGGACTGTCACTCCCGCAATATTCCCCAAAAAGTACTACCAATGCATGATAGTATGCACTGCTAACTTTTCGGCTATTGAGGCCGCTATAATAACCATTACCGTCAGTTATATATTAAAAATTTTTAGCCTTTGTTTATTTTTTTTATTCAAAAATTGAAAGCAGTAAAAAAAATCAATTAATACCTTTAGGTAGCTTCATCGTGAGCCATTTAAGCTACTGAATATGCGCAGCAAATTTGCCAAAAATTATTATTAACAACTTTTGTCTCACAGGCCTATATTGGCACATAATAAAAGCCTTTTTTTGCTTGCTCTTGCAGTCGAATTTATTTATGTAAATTCATTGAAAACAAATCTGTGTGACGACCTTCAGGCCAAGAATAAAAGTGTGTCTAGATACGATAAAAATATACGAAAATAAGCAAAAGCAGAAGAAAAAAACACCAAAGGAGTGGAGGAAATTTTAAATTCAATTTAATAAATATACGACTAGCTGTGGGTGTAAAATGCAAGCGTGCTTATACATATATACGTACATATGTATGTATAATATATTTATTTAGGCGCATAGCATTTAAGCAGATGATATAGGCATACACACACATAAACATATGCACATCTTTGTACTATAAGCAGCCGTTGATGTCATCACTAAATGAACGCCAGCATGAACGATGCATATGAAATGTGAGCCAAAAAGTCAAGTGCAGCTTCTAGAATCAGGCAATTTGAATTTTTGTGCATTTTAAAAATGTATTAATTTTATTTTATAACTGGTAAAAGTAAATGCATTAAGTCAATTATGGCGCCCCAAATACATTTGGGCGCCCTCAAGTGAGTAGCGCTGAATACGCTACCGTTTAAAAACTAGTTGGAATAGCAGTTATGGTGGAGCATCGGTTTATTATTTAGTTAGTCATCTGAGAATGGCAGTTAACCCGAAAACACTGTGACACAAAATAACGAATAAACCTTTGAGAGCACGAAAAATCGACCGTTTCGTGCAATGTAGCAAAATGCATACATGTATGTATATATACACTCTGTGTATGTATGTATGTAGGTACATATGTACGGGTGCTTGCAAGCGAGTTAGAAATAAATATAAACACTAACTGCACCACACCGCTAGCGCTCGCCGCCACCTTGAGTCGACCACCTAATTCCCACAATTTAAAATTAAGTGAATACAAAATTGTATGTATGTATGTATGCATGTATGTTTGTGTGTTTGTACATATGTGTAATAAAGTGTATAGCCGCAATTTGCGAAATAATGCCCACATGTATTCCATTAGACGTACATACATACATACATACACACATATGTAAACAAATAGAACCTGTAATGTACATGTGCATTCATACATACATAAATACATACATACATGCAATATACAATATAAAATCTATGCCATCACCCATTTGTTTTGAATTTCCCTTGCATTCAATACAAATCTTTTATCGCCCAATAGTAAATATATTTTTATTGTTTTGGAAGAGTTTAGGCAGACATGGAGATATACATACATACATACAGGTATATATGTATGTACTTATGTACATACATATATGTAAGCATCTAAATATGCAACTATGAAGTACTTTCCATTTACATACTTATTCATTGAGTGTAGCACTCTTGCAAGTAATCTCTCTCTCCCTCTCTCTCTCTCGCTCGCTAATGTAAAATGTAATTATTTTTGAGTTTTGTTTATGTTTTTCTCGCGTAAGTTTGCTTAGAAAAAAGCTTTTTAATTTGACTCTCTGCTGCTTTCTACGCTACACGTTGGCGTTCTTCTTTCTAACTTCCGATGTACACACGATTATCAGGTAGATTGTTTTGGTTGGGTAACGGCAGTGTAAGCATTTTTGCGAAGAAGAGCTTTTAACAGCTGTTTCACGAAAGCTCAATGTAAAGTGTAAACTTTTGTGTTGCACGCCGAATTGTCGGCACGGTGGGGTTGTTGCCGGAATTAATTTAATTATTTATTTTAAATAATTTATTTTTTATTAGCGCAATTAATGCAGCGATTATTATTTGCGAAGAAAACCAGAATATTGGCCGTCAAATAGTTTTCTTTTATATTTCGAATATATTTTTCATATTTTTATGATAATTTGCAATTTTTGCCAGCAGTCTTTGGGTACATTTATTTTTATGTATGTAAACGCTTTGATTTTCAGCACCTGGCTTACGTCAACACCGACATTACTGTGCGTTGTGTAAAATATGAAATTTTCTATTTTAAATGGTAGAAATTTTCCAAATATCAGCTACCGAATTTAAGCCTTTTAATAACATTTTGCGAGTAGATACTTTTTTCACGGGTCTTTTCGGGGATTTGGTGGACATGCAATGGTGCATTTAAACCCACTTTGGTTTAGTCCGTTCAATTCGCAATAGCCATCAAGAAGGCCAGGTTTCGAGAACTGATCCCCTCGACTGGGAAAGTTAAGCCCTCCGAGTGTATTATAAACAAAAATAAATAAAAAAGCTCCTCATAAAAACCCATTGACCGTGCGCTGGCAACTTAGTATGTATAAAATATAGTTCCCAATATACTCTGGACATC